AATATTCGGATATTTGGACGCATATACCTTTTTGGGGAAAACACGGGAGACCTGGATCGAGGAAATTGATGTGAAATTGAAAATTTCGTTGAAAATCAAGGTGATGGAAGCTCGGATGGAAGGGATTAAGATGGCGATTCACTATGTTTACCAAACTAATGGGGGGAATATGAAGCAATAACGAGAATGAATTGGCACTAAGTATATTTCCAAACATTTTCATTTTTTCATTAAATGTTTTTCAATCCCATATGAGTACTTGACTTCTATTTTCTTGGTATTGTATATGTATGACCTATTTCCGCCTATTTTTTTCATAAAAGAAGTAGGTATACCTTTATACAGGGTGGTCCTTCGATTGTACGGGGTAGGTCAAAAAATATTAAAAAATTCAAAGTATGTACTCTTATTTCGAGTTTCATTTCAGAAAATGCATTGAACTATTATCGAGAAAAGTTGTTTCGAATTGAAAGTTACGCCTAAACTAGATACCAAAATATGGCCACAACACTTTAAGCGACCATGGTAGGTCGATAGGTGTGCTGTAGCAGGGCCTACTCTATCTCACCTAGAGTAGGCCCTGGCTGTAGGCTCGGCTGTCACTGTAGGTAAAATAGTACTACACTGGAAACTACACTCAATTGTTCATTCCATGAAATAATCCAGGTTATTGTATCCAGTCATTGATTCTACTGGTGAAGACACAAACTGAATACAAGTCATAACCCTATGAGATGGAGCTGGTAAGTTCTAGCGCTTCTGTTTATGCGATATGCTTCAATTATTAAATTCTTCAATTGGCTTGATTAATGTGCTATTTATTGCAAGTGGCCGTGATCCTCAATCAACGGCCAGCTTCGCTTCATTTCTATACAGGGAATGTCACAATGAACTTAAACAGAGACTTACACAATCTGCATATCGAGAATCAGTCACAAGAAATTCATGAAAATGTGCATGCTCATATTTGAGATTACGCTCTCTTCGTTTAAAATATTTTTGACAATGCAGTGTTGCCGCTTTTATCGAAAAGTCTAGCGGGAATGATTACAGAGATATATAGGGTGTTCAAAATCAAAGATCTTCCAAGCACAATAGGTCCAATGGCTGTCAAAGACTTTTAATAGCGAACTAATGATTTTAAGAAACTTCAACAATGACTTCCTCCAAGGTAATACAATTTCTTGAAATCTCTTGGATAAATAGATACCCTGACGGCCTGACTGCTCTCTGATGTCTCAAAAGAAGAAAAATACTAAATGCATTCCTCGGAAGACCTATACAAGAATAATTATTAACAAAGGACAAAGCATATGTGTAGCTAGCCCACGTGCAACCAGTTTCTTGTTATTCCTTTGTGAATAATATCTTACACTCAGGGGAATGCTCTATTTTGCTCTTGACTGAATCGCTATGGTCTTTTTTTATAGACATTAAGAGGAATGTGAAGATGCGATGCGATACGCATTTCAACGCTCGTTTCAACGGTTAAAAATAATTCTAAGACATCGATTACAAAGGTCAGTTATCGTGGCAACAAAAGAAAGTCGCACTTTATCGCGGTATACGGGATGTTTCAGTTTATACCTGCCGAACTGCAGTATTGAGAAATGAGATAATCCGAAAGATTATCTCGAGAATTCTCTCAATTCTAATTGATATACAGGGTGCCCGTTTTTCGAGCACCATCATGGGGACTCAGTTATTATAAGAGATACGAGAAGTTGCGCATTTTCATGCTGAAGATTTATCTGCAAGAAAATGTGATATATTTATGTCACTTTCAATTTTTGAATTATTTGAAGAAAACGAACATTTTTGAATTTAGTTTTTATTTTGTCTAGCGAAAACTAAAAGACCTAGACGTTTCTGACTAGGACATTCTTGAGGCACTTTTTCACAAGGAATCTGAATCTGTCATCGTATTTTTCATGACGTTCTTGATGTCAAAGTTACAACACACAACTTTGTTTTTTCTAACGGGCGCCATATTGGATTTTTAGATTTTTGAAAAGTCTTTTTTTATTACAACGATGTATCACACTATATGATCGAATTCTTCCAGTTGATCAATATTGGAAAAAAAACATTTTTGCGAAGATTGCTTTGGAAGAAATGCCAACAGTTTTGTATAACAAACTGAATTTTGACAGTTCAATTGAATATTCGAACAGAACTGTTGAATTCTTAAGCCAGAGATTTTGTGTGTATAATCTCTGCTTGAGCTTATCCACATAACCCAAGAACAAGAAGGGTTGCCGAGTGTCTGTCAGACATGACAATGTAATTTCCAACAACGGAGAAATACGTTGGCCAGCGCGGTCACCTGATCTCTCTCCACTGGTTTATTTATTGGGAACTATGGAAGATTCAGGACTAAGATAAGAAGGCGGGACATCTCATGATCTACAAAGCGCAGATACGGCATGTTCTAGAATACTGTTCTCACATATGGGGTTCAGCACCAAAACATACGCTGATGCTCTTAGATTCCATCCAGAGAAGAGCTATTCGCCTGGTGGGTGACGCCACACTCACTCACTCTTTGACATCATTGGAACACCGTAGAAAGGTCGGCGACCTCTCACTTCTCTAGTTCTCTATCGAGAGATGGAAATGTTCTTCAGAAATCTCTGCTATCATCCCTTCACTAGCAAGACCAGTCAGACGAACTAGGCAAACCCAGACAGCACATCCTTTCGTTGTCAACCTCGAAAGATGTCGAACAGCACTTTATCAAAACTCCTTCATCCATAGAACGGCTAGGCTCTGGATATATAATCTTCAGAAGTTCAAAATGATTCCAATACCTACCTCCTGTCCCTATCCTCCCTAGGAACGCACGATGTTCTTTGAACATTATAGGGATTTCCTTTCGTGCGCTCCAAGCGATAAAAAAAAGAGGAAACGCGTAGAATTGTGTCTAGAAGTGGAAGGTAGAGCACCTTTCATAAATATAACTTTGTTTTGTTTTGCGAAGAATAAATTTCTAGCTCATTACGTCGTTCCTGCGTCATTACCATAGTTTTAAAGTAGATGAGCTTGACGAAAATGTGAACGTTCCAGATTAAAATCCAAATAAACTGTCGAAATCTCGGTCGAAATTCAGCTTGTTTAACAAAACATAATGAATCCAATATGGCGCCCATAAGAAGAAACAAAGTTGTGTGTTGTAGCTTTGGCATCAAAAACGTCATGGAAAATCGTGGAAAATACAATGACAGATTCAGATTCCTTGTATAAAAGTGCCTCAAGAATGTCCGAGAGAATGTCCCAGTCAGAAACGTCTAGGTCTTCTGGTTTCCGGTTGAAAAAATAAAAACGAAAATTATAAACTTTCGTTTCCTTCCAATAATTCAAAAACTAAACATGACACATCAAATTTTTTTGCAGATAAATGTTCAGCATGAAAATGCGCAACTTTGCCCTAATTTAACCGACCTTGTATCGCTTATAATAACTGAGATCCCCTTGGTGGAGCTCGAAAAACGGACACCCTGTATACTTGGTAGGTTTATTTGTGGTTATTTCAAGTCAAAATGTAAGTCGAAATTCGAGCTGAGTTCAAAAGAGCTGACACAATTGTTATTTAAAAACCTTTGGGATACATATCGTTTATACAGGTTGCTTCTGAAAACGAAGCCTATAGGGTTAAAAACCGAATCAAAAATGATTGAGATTGTACATCCTGTACAGTTGTTATGTTATAAAAATAATGAGAATCGGGATGACAATAATGAACCAATAATAACATATTATTAAATACATTGAACTTCGACTTAATACACTGATAAATAAATGATAACTTTACCAACATCACTGTTTTTTCTTTATGGAATATTGTGTACCTACGTGATTATCACTCGTTCTTCAATTGTAAAATGAATATAATACTTACTGGCAATACAAACTAGTATCACCTAAAATGGTTGCTGAATTTTCAACAGGTGTAAATAATTCAAATATCAATACAATATAGGTAACTAATTGTACTCATACCAATATAAAAATCTATGTAGGTAGCCTACATCAAAAATACCTATTCTATACATATACATATAGGTCAAAGAGGTCGTATATTTGTCATTTGTCAACGTATAAATGAACATAACATAGTTTTCATGGAAAGCCAATTTTTGGTATTCTGTTTCATTTGTTGGGCCGGATTTTTCATTTATAAGGTGGATTGAACCCTGCAACTTTGCAAAACTTTGAAAAATATGTATCTAGGTACATACTACCTACGAAAATTAATATAGGTACTTAGCGAGTACTTAGCTACCACTGGGGACTGACGCAATATAGGTAAGAATCCGGTAGAACGAAAAGAAAGCAGTGGAAGTCAAGCAAATCGTTCAATTAAACTGCCTACCTATACCCATGATACTAAAACCAAGAGGTTCTTCGGTTCTAGTATCATGCCTATACTTAACTAGACAGGTATATTAGGTAACTACCTACCTGCCTTCATTTTAAAAGGGACAGCTGACAAGAGGTAATATCTACTTCCACCGTATTATTATTTGCCTGTCCTGGTAGTATTATTTATCTTCAGATAATCAGTTCAAGTTCATTTCACGTTGTATCCGGTTGTAAACATAAACATAAGCACACACAAATAAATGGATTTGAAAAACACGGAGTAGGTACCTTCGGATGAAAACAAACGTCATTTACCTACGCATCAATTTCATGATTTGAACAAAAAAATACAAAGAGCGTGAGCTCTACCAAACAAAAATCTGCATAGCAGTAGGTATATCTTAGTCGCAATCTAGTGCTGCTAGATATTTATTATCAACCCCTTTAAAATTTCTAACGTAACACCTATGCTTTGCAACACATCTGGCTGAAAGCTGCTGCGAGATGAGAGAGATGGAGAAACAGCCTCCGCTGGCTCCGCTTCTAATAAACAGAAACAAAATACCAACTAGCGTTGTTCCAGCGTGCTTGACATTCCGGAAATAATTCGCATTTCTTCAAATAAAAATCTCACTTACCGGGTAATACATCCCCTGATGGGGAAGGAAGAAGGCCCCTGCACCCCACAGTTTGACTGATTCTTCTCTACGGGTCAACGAAAACAACTGCACGAGGCAAAATAGTCCCTTGGCACACTGAATTCGATCGACAGAAATGCGCTGGCTATCGAGTCATCCACGGTTTGTTGTTGTCGCTTGCTGAAACAGGAGAACAACGCCCGACGTAGATCGAGCAGGGTTCCTAAACTACCCCGGCCGACTCGATTTCGATGATAAAGCCGCGCGGAGAGGAGAAGGAACGAGAAACGATGCGAGCGTGCGACTCGTCGTAGGTATGGCCGCGACGTTGCCACGTCCATTTTTCCAGCAGTAGATTTGCGACACTAATATCAACTCGGCTAGCAATTTTGTTCCTCTTGCAAAACCGTTAAGATGCGTGAAAACGTTGCAGAACTGATCAGAGAGTGACCTTTGTTCAATTCAATTTTGGATATTCTTTCAACCGTCTGAATTTTTCGCTTCAGTGAAAAAAGTTGGGTATGTGGCAATGATGTAGGGAAGTGGTGGGGTCGATCAATGAAAGCATGAAAGGCAGGTCCTATGGGTCGAAGAGCGTGAAGAGAGGTAGAGGGATTAACTGGATAATTGTGAATTGCTCTGATACCTAGGTATTCCGATTATGTTGTGCGTTGTGCTATCTTATCAAAGCCTACAAGTCCATTCGGCAGCGTTTTGTTCAATTTGAATTTACATCCCTATTCCTGATTCAAAATCGATTTAAAAAATGTTTATAAGAGGTAGGTGATACGATAAAAACTTTTCGTTGAATTCTATAGCGTGTCTCACTTTAAACGACCCCCCCCCCACTACTATACATTTTTTATATGAATAATTGAAATAAAAAGGAGTCGATCTTTATGATATCAAATTAGGATTGTTTTTGCAAGAAAAATAACATCATTATATTGTTCCTCATGCTTTATTTGAACCTCCATATACAAAAAATCACCTTATTATTATTCCGAATTAACAGAAATGGCTTATTACTTTTTTTCATTTTCAGCTTCGAAAAAATATCTAGTGTATTCAAATTAACTGTAAATTTCGAAACGTTCAATAGCTCCGGTAGAAAATTTTAAAGAGAAAACAAGATATACTGTTTTATGTTGAACTCATAGATATTATATGAAAATTTACATATGGGGGGTTTGAATATCATGAGGTCATCAGTTTTCCTGTGAAAAATGCCTAATATGATGATTTCATGAAAAATTTACCCCTTTTTAATTTTCTAAAAATGCACGCCACTGTCCAAAATGACGTTGGTCTCTGAAAAACTGATTATATTGATGCTCGTTCACACCGGTCCAAAATCGGAAATTGAAGAAGGTATTAAAATCCGCATCTGAAGCGTAGGCATATACATCAGCAGTGTGATCCACTGTATCTGAACCATATTTCATAAAAAAACGATATTGGTAATTTCAATTAGAGAATTGCTGAATATTAGAGCGTTGAAGTACACACCGCAATACGTAGTCCTCCACGTAGACGTTAACGTACGGAATATAACGTTTACGGATTATAACGATCATCCTGAAATTGAATTGAAGTCATCCAGTGTCATCGTAACGTAAAATTGAATTTTTGTTTTTGGTTTGTATTGGTCCTTTCTGGCTGTTTGTTTTGATCTGAACAATGAACATTCATTTTAACTTAAAAGAACTTTTTATTGGGGATCCAGGCTTCAATAATCTTGACTCAATGGCATATTTCGGTTAACGTACGTTATTTAAGATGAACGTTAAAGTAAAGTTTATCCAAAAACAATTGCAGAATCTTGTGCCGCACCTGCAGTCACTTCAAAGGAAACTTCAAACACGCCGACGCCGCACAGTGCGAGGTATTCTGCAATTGATAATGGATATACTTTACGCAAGATAACGTACAGCCGTAAGCCCACTCGCAAACAGGAAAAACGAGAAATGCGCATCCGTAGCTGACAATTTCTACGTTTACGTTAACGTTTATGGCAGCACTTCAACCTTTTAATGATTATAGAAATCGTAGGATTGGTGGTAATAATCCTCTCGTTCATGGCCGCCAAGATCACCGGATCTGACACCACTATGGTTTATTCTTTTTTGGGGTATTGTGAAGCAAAATGTTTACAAGTCCAAGACGTACATCAGTTAGTAGAAGACAGATCAGCGTTATTATTAATATCGAATATCGTTCTATGAAATTTGGTATGCAACCATTTTTGTACTGATTCCAATGGTAATTTTTGAAATGTTATTGAGGTGTCCCGCTTTCAAGTGAGAAAACCGTAAAAAATGGGACACAATGTATTTCACTATCCTTTCCTACCTTTAGGAAAGCTTTAAACATTTTTCGTAATGTGTGAAAAAAGAGTTAGGGGGAAGCAATGGACTTCTGGTCCCCACTACTCACTAGTACTCAATTATAACAAAAATAAACAAATAGGATCTGTTAATTTTTTTGTCGTTAATAAAGGTTGAATGCTGAATGATAGCATCTGTATATAACTTTCAATTTAAACTCAATTAAAATGAACAACAGACGCCACATTTCAATTAGAGATCCTGATGAGTGTTAATAAATGAAAAATTAGGAGAAATTCAAACAAAACAAACAAAAAAGTTGGAATTTTGCCAGTGATCATAATGCTCGAGTCTCGTTATCTTTGGAAGTTTTTTCTTTTTTTTTTCATAAGTTTCACACAAGGCAGAAAAATTCGCGCATTCTCACCATTTCAATCTTCTCTGTTCTTGTTCAAACATTTTTTGAATATTGTGTGAATTCCAGGAAAAATATAATGCAATAATAATTATGGCAACAGTGCCAGTTGATAGATACCTTTTGTGGCTTTTATAACTTACAATATCTACCCCCTTTCCTACAAGTTTTGTGGAATTGAATCTCGACATAATACCGTAAACGCTTCCAATTTTAAAAAAGCAAGACCAGTATTTTCTTGCTATATAGGCACAGATTAACAAACCTTACTATAGATCTGCTATAGATAGGGTATAGGGTAGATAACCTTCCTAGTAGATGCCTATCTGCACTCATATATATTATTATTAAAGGAACATGAGAGTAGTATATAGGTGGTACCTTAATTATACCGATTACCTATACCATTTTTTTATTATATACCTACAATAACTAATAAAAGCAACATGGGAATAAGGAAATACCTGTAACCTACCTAAAGCGTGCCTCTAGTACCAATCTAGTACCTATACTTGACCTGTTGATATTTATAATCACTATAATTAGATTAAGCTTTCTCAAAAGATCTATGATGGTATGTATTTTACGTATTTTATTTATTTCATGATATTATATAGGTATAAGGTTCAAAATGTAGATTAAAGGTTTAGATTACATAATGGTTCAAAGGAAGGAAAATGGGTAAAAAAGGATGTCATACCCAAATACAGGAATTCAGACAATCCCACTCCGAATTGAGTTCTGCCTTCATCAATTCTTTATTGAAACTTCTCACTGAATTGAACCATTTCTTCCTAGGAAACATTGAAGGGACAATCACAGCACAAATAGGGAAATTCATGACTGAAAATAAGAAAATATTCTCTGTATTGGCCAGGCCAGCGCAAGCAATAAACAATTGAAAACCGCAAGACAAAATGTCGTTTAGAAAAATCGAGTCAAAAGACTTTCGATGTGCATAATATTCCTATATAACTATTGAAGTTTCATGGAATGAAAATACTATATGTCTGTTTCTTTTAAAATGTTCATGATAATGTTATATTGTGGTCAAGTGATGAGTAGGTAGGTATTTGCCTGAAATCTGAATTTATACAACATAATAATATAGCCTAACATATAACCTGTTGATTAATTTTGCAATGAGGTCTTTCAGTTGTTGTTTGCCTGTCTTGGTCATATTGAAGAAATAAAATATTTCAATGACCTCTTTTCTTTCTATTTAGTACCTATCTAAAAACAGTTTCTTGAAAATATGGTAATATCAGTTGGTTAATTATGCAGAGCCCCAAAAGTAGGATTAGCCTAGGGTCCCATGCACAAACTGATGGACCGTCCCTGATATATCTATATTGACAACCATAACGCCACATGATTGTGAATTCTCAGTTTTCATACAGGGTGTACTGTTTTCCAGATACAGCTTCGGTTTTTATGACAGCCATATTGGATTTTGGCGTAATTGAAAAATATGCTGAAAATAGATACGATTTGAAATATAGTACCTATTTATGTTAATTACTCATTCATGCCAGTCGGCCTCTATGTGTGAAAGTTTGACAAATAATGTCATTCAAAACGGTCACAATCGTTATATCTCAAAATAGGTACCTACTTAGGTACCTACCAAATTTCAATGAGGAACAGGCTCTGATCTCGTCACTGGTTACACACAATAGGCCTTTTCATCTAGACATATTTTTAAGACGCATGCGCCCGTTTTTAGATCCAAAAATCTATTGGGTAATGCGAAGGTAAGGTCTCATTGGCTATAGTTCCAACACAAAATGCTGATTGGTCATTTCGAATATGGCGGGTAATATTGACGTTCTGTCAAGTGTCAACAGTTTCAACCACCATGGACATTCGTCATTGAGGAACAATTTTCATATTCCTGGTGTGTATTGATTGTATCATGATAATTTAATTCCAAAAAACCTTACTTATTCGTTACTGAGGAGTGTGGTACTGTGGTGCAAGTGTTTCGGAGAAAATGGCCGCCACTGTCGTTGGATGCGAGATGTAAACAGATATAGTAATTTGTCATCTAAATGAAAAGGCCTATTGAATATAAACTCTGGAAACATACATTCATATGAAACAGATATTTTTCGGCGAAAAATGGTGTGATACGTAGAAGAAAAAAACACACTGTAGAAAAAACGTTTATTTTATTATAAATAAAAAACATGTTGTAACCCTATCAGTTTTGTTTTGTATCATTACTTCCCAATGTAATAGGATCATTTTTTGAATTATAAAAAAACGGATGAAAGGCCGATAAAATCGATGGACACAAGTTGAAGTACAGGTATACCATAATCAATTCGTACATTTTATGAAATACATTGATGAATGAGGTGTTTGTATTGAGTTCATTGATGAATGATGATTGATCTTTTGAGTTTGTGAGGTTATGAAATTTTTCTTGTCGCTTCTTCGCCTGAAAGTATAACCAACAAAACAAACTATAGCTGCTGCATGCTGCTGAGCTATTGATCCTCATACTAGTTCTACATGAGTTCTATCAAGGACTTTTGTTTTCTTTTTCCAGTTGTAGGTTTTGTTTTGAACATCCCAAGATAACCATCCGTCAACGGGGGTGAAACGGATATAGTGGGGTGAAGAGGCTCGTAGTGTAATAGAAAAAAAAGGTAAAACTGCATTTATCATGCGATGGATTTTTATTTTCGAAATTTTTTTTAACTTAGGTATTTTTGTCTGAAAAACAGGAATTTGATAATGAAAATGTGTAATGCGAAATACGATTCGCTATGTCGGTTCGACGTTGCATGCATTATCAATATGTCTAAATTTCCAGAAATTGTTCCTTGAATACAAGTATTAAATAACAGCAATGGAATATAATAAGTTTTTCCACCACTAGCTATAAAACCTACCATTATTTACTCCTTTTCGAGGCATAAAGTGTGTTTTCACAACAAAGTTGCCGATGTCTCTCATCTTGACGAGCACACAAGTTTCCCTTCTGGGACTTGACTTTTGATTTTATAAGTGCGCGTTCTTAGGGCACGAGGCCCTTCATTTTAAATGAAAACCCGTTTATTCCTCGAAACTATTTATTATTATTATTCATGATATTATGATGAGAGACATCGGCAACTTTGTTAAAACAAATAATGTTCACCTCCATTAATTTCTAAAATACGGCTGAAGATGGACTTTTATAAGTTCGAAACATGTCCCGTTGAATAACTACATCAATATTAAAGTTGTGGAGATGACTTTGAGCTTTCCTTCCTCCTTTTAAAAATTCCACTCTACTTTGAGCAAACATGGACTTCTACCAGAGATTACTCTGAATATTTATTCTGATTATATCTATCAAGAATAAAAAGTCAATCGATCTGAAAGTGATGAAGGTCATACCATCAGTGTTCTCGCCTGAGAAGCGAATCAAGATGAAGGTGAAGTAATTTCGTCGACAAAGAACAATATCAAACAAAACAAAACAAAAACTCTGCCGTAACAGCAACTCGAAGACGATCAGAATCCCGATAAATTCCCCTTGAAACTCCTGATCCGACAGATCTTCGTTCTGCTCCTGATAAAACTTCTTTGGAGATGTATTCTCAACATATATACACACACTGGCACAATTAGGGGAACGGGTAAAATTTTCACTAAGTTTGACATCAATTTTCTCTCGAACCGATCACTCGATTCAAATTTGTTTTTAACGAAATGTAGCTTCATTCTCCACGAATACATCTGAGAAATAACAACCTCCAAACGATTCGTCTTTATATCATATACAGGGGTGTAAAGAAAGTACGGATTTTTCGGTATTCTGCGAGACATCCTGTGGAGTGAACCACTAATAATTGAAACGATTTTCCAACACCAAATTGAAGCCCAAACTATCCCGAATATTTTCGTTTCTTATTCATCTTGATATCCCAATTATCCAAGGAAATATAGAGTTTCAAAGAAGAGGTGGATATTGGTATTAATTTTACCACCTCGAAACTCGAACTGGGGAGAACGTGTCGTTTTTCAACTTGTTCATGTGAGGATTTTTACTTCAAGATGAGAATTGTTCACAGTTTTACCTATCGGTTTACTGTTTAAAGACACATATACGAATACTCTCATGAATATGCAGGGGTGATAAAAGTTGCTCCAATGTTCTTTTGGTGAAATGCTATTTTTGTTAATCAACGTTGGCTCTTTTGTTAATGTCATTAATTATTGTCACACAATTCATAAATTTGATTAATGAAAATTCAACGTGAGAGATTTGACTCCTACTGATGTGGCGAGGGCTGTAGCATTAATTGAAAATGACCAGTGGGCCAATGTTCTTTTGACATATGAGAGCCGTATCTGCACCAATTCAATAGCTGGCAGGGAAAGACTATATCGCCGAGGTGAACAAAATGAACAATTTGATTTTACTCCTATGGCAGAGGTTTAGTCATGGTTAGGTTAGGTTAGTCAAGAAACGACACATTTTCAGATCCAATTTGAGTTTTGAGGTGTAGAATTGATACCAATATCCACCTTTCCTTTGAAACTCTGTATTTTCTTGAATAATTGAGATATCAAGATGAATAAAAAACGAAAATATTCGGAATAGATTGGGCTCCAATTTGGTGTTGAGAAATCGTTTCAATTACCAGTGGTTCAGTCCACAGGATGTCTAAAAAAATACCCAAAAATCCGTACTTTCTTTACACCCCTGTATATGATGGAAAGACTCATCTCTTGAAGGTAATTATTTCTCAGATGTATTCGTGAAGAATGAAGCTACATTTCGTAAAGAAAAAAATTTGAATCGAGCGATCGGTTCGAAAGAAAATTGATGTCAAACTTGTGTAAATTTTGCCCGTTCCCCTAATTGTGCCAGTGTGTGTATAAAGAATGAAAGGTCAATCTGAAAGTGATGAAGGTGATACCATCAGTGTTCTCGATGAAGGTGAAGAAATTTCGTCGACAAAGGAAAGTAACAAACAAAACAAAACAAGAAAACTCTGCTGTAACAGCAATGTGAAAACGACCAGAATCCTGATTCCGACTTACTTCAGCCGTACAAATTTCCAGGGAACTCCTGATCCGACAGATCGTCGTTCTGCTCCTGATCGGTGTCCGGCGACTTTTGCCTCTTTCTGCCGTACGCCCTTTTGCTGGTGGTGGGCAATTGATCGGTCTCGCCGTGCAACAGCGAGTTTCGGTAGAGTTGCAGCGGTTGCCAATCTTCGCCCCTACTACTTGGCATTCCTAAGAAAAAAACAAGAAAAATAATTATCATTTCCATGTCATGCCAGGTGACAAGATGTTGTTCTGTTTAGATTCGTGGTTGCAATGACGACGTATTCTTACCCTTCGAAAGGAAGGAGCAGCGTACTATTGAGACACGTCATTCTGATTGAATCTTATATTCTACGTGAGATACGGGGGTGCTTTCATGAGAAGTGAAATTTTATTTTTCTGAACTGAAAATTTCCTAGGAAAATTATATAGATGGTTAGTGAATTGGGCGGCCTAATTCGGAATCCGAAGATATTTTCAACCTATTTTGGCTCCTATTATCATTTTCCTGTTGGCGAGCAGTGTATATCACTGGAGATGACCCCACTTGGTCACAGAGTGTATTTTTGGTATATCTCTCGCTCTAGCAAATTTCAGGATCCTTACCCAACGATTACGTAAGATACAGGGGTGTTTCCATTAGAAGTGGGTCACACTGTAGATCGTGAAATTGTAAAAGGTAATACTACAAGTCATTGAACTTTCATCGATAAATTTTCGGAAAGGAATGTATGAAACGGAACATAGTATCGAGTTTCACCAAGAGTACCTTTTTGGGAGTGCGTAGCGCGATGCCCAATTCCCACGATGCCCAATTCCTACGATGCCCACCTTCATGTAGACGATAACGAAGATTTCCGAAGAGCGCAACGTTGCCATGTCATGAGAAAAATTCAGAAAAGACAAGATTCTCACCATGCCCACTTTTCATACATTCCCACGATGCCCAATTCCCACCATGCCCACCTTCCTTGGATTCCCTCCATGCCCACTTTTCATTCATTCCCACGATGCCCAATTCCCACCATGCCCACCTTCTTTGGATTCCCACCATGATAAAGGTGGGCATGGTGGGAATCTATAGAAGGTGGGCATCGTGAGAATATATGAAAAGTGGGCATGGTGGGAATTGGGCATCGTGGGAATGCATGGAAGGTGGGCATGGTGGGAATCTATAGAAGGTGGGCATCGTGGGAATGTATGGAAAGTGGACATGGTGGGAATTGGGCATCGTGGGAATGTATGAAAAGTGGGCATGGTGGGAATCCAAAGAAGGTGGGCATGGTGGGAATTGGGCATCGTGGGAATGTATGAAAAGTGGGCATGGTGGGAATCTAGAGAAAGTGGGCATGGTGGGAATCTAAAGAAGGTGGGCATGGTGGAAATTGGGCATCGTGGGAATGCATGAAAGGTGGGCATGGTAGGAATCTAAAGAAGGTGGGCATCGTGGGTATGTATGAAAAGTGGGCATGGTGGGAATTGGGCATCGTGGGAATATATGAGAAGTGGGCATGGTGGGAATCTTGTTTTCAGATTTTTTTTCTCGACCTGGCAACGTTGCGCTCTTCGGCAATCTTCGTAATCGTCGACATGAAGGTGGTCATCGTAGGAATTGCATCGTGGGAATTGGGCATCGTGAATGATGTCCAAGTTCATATCATATTTGGATAGAAAAATATATCCTCAAAAATGTTACGTTCTAAACTACTCGGTACGAACCCTGTAACTAGCGCCCTCTATGAGAGTCAGATATAGGAACAAATTCATGTGATGTGTCAGATTTCAAGTAACATTCATACAAAATTTCATTACAATGTTGCGAGCAGTGTCGACATAATCGTGAAAAATGTGTAAAAAAAATCAATTTTTGTATCATGAAAACGAATGCCGTTACGACACTTTTTCACTGAACAAACCCAACTTATTTTGCAGTGTTCTACCTACCCTAGCAAGGGGGTTAGGTTTTTTTGTTGTAACACCCTGTATAATCACTCAGAGGATGCATTTTTTTGGGCAAGTCCTGTTTGCATCCCACAATAAATAAATAAATTAATAAATGAATAAACTAATACCATCCATTGACTCTATTCAGAACGACAATATGTAGAACCATCCCCAATAGGTACCTGTTCCGATGCGCTTGTCCAAGAACCCCATCACCACCCGCTTGTCCTGCTTCAGCAGCTTGTTGGTGAACTCGGTGAGGATCTCGAGGAAGGGCAGGTTGGCGGGCGGGCCGATCGGGTCCTCGCTGGCCTGCTCGCCGCCGCCCACGGCGAAGATGATGCCCGCCCGATGAAGGGCGGTGATCGCCTCGCGGTTCTTAACCGCGTCCAGGCCGAACGACAGGGCGAACCGTTTGGCCAGTTCCTACGGGAATATTTTTTAAAAATCTAGTGGAAAAAATCGTATTTGTGACGTTTGAATGAATCTTAACCCGTAAGTACTATCCCCCATGAAAATAACGTAACTACTACCGGCGGGTCAAATTGACCCGCGTGTAGTAGTTACTCGAAAGATATTCAACTGAGCTTGTGATTTTCATTATGGATATACATTGAAATGAGAGAAAAAAAATTGGAAGAACATTCTGGGCAGATATTTTTGCACACTGTCCACAAAAAGGGATTGAGCACTTGTGGCAGCTATTGCTGGCTTTCCTGTCATTCCGACATTGATAGACACCGCATCTTTTTCTTTTTGATGCACCAACTCTTTGTTTAACCCCAGGTGGCATCATGGGATGTGTTGGATTCGGTATTTTCATTATACCAGATGCAATAGAGCGAACATTGTATGGTATACTCTCGGATCCATTTTCTGCGTTGAAAAAATGATTTGTAAATAAGTTAGACAACTCTTATAGTAGGATATCACTACTGAGTAAGAATTCAATCCAAACTTATGTGAAAAATAGCAGGAAAACCTCCAACGGTTAAATGATTATCTTACAAACAACAATGGCAAACATCATATAAGATTTGAGACGTCTCAACTACCCACGGGTCAGAATGACCCAAAACAGTTCTCTGGCAGATTCCTGCGAATTCTGTCGCTGTCATTTTTACAGCAAACTGTAGAAATATACAGCGTCTCTCATTTTAAACGCCCCCCCCCCCCCCTCCCCCCTCTATATCACAGCTATCAGTCGTGCGATCTTCACCAAATTTGTATCGGTATGAATAATCATCACTATGACCAGTTCTTCGAAGACAAACATCATTTAAGACAGTGCCGTGCATTTTTATTGAAATGAATAGGGGTCAGTTTTTTATTAAATCATATTAGGCATTTTTTCACAGGAAAACTGACCTCATAATATTGTTCTTCATGGTTTCAAACTCACATATGTGGATTTCCATGAGATGCCTATAGAGAGTTTCAGAAAAACAGGCACATCTAAACAGCATTTTTGCAAACGTAATGATTATTTACTCGGAAACAGTGAGTTCAACATAAAAAAGTATAACTCGTTTTCCCTTCCAAATCATGATTTTCCTCCTACCGGAGCCATTGAACGTTCCAAAATTCGTAGTTGATTTGAAGTTACTATTTATTCGAGACGGAAAATGAAAAAAATGAACCCAATCCTGTAAATTCGGAATTAGGTGATTTTTTGTATATAGAGGTTCGAAAGCATGAGGAACAATAATATGAGGTTAGATTTCCTGTAAAAAATGCCTAATATGATTTTATGAATAATCGACCCCTTTTTAGTTCAATAACAATGCACGGCACTGTCCAAAATAATGTGCATCTCTGTAAAACTGATCATATTGATGGTTATTCATACCACACCGAATTTGGTTGGAATCGCATGACTAATAACTGAGATATGGAGAGGGGGCCGTTTAAAGTGAGACACGCTGTATATTAAAGGAGAATTTCAGAGAGGGCAACATATTATTCGTGGGAGTGTCAAAGATACAGTATTTCAAACATATCACTGGGTCAGTTTGACCCGTGGGTAGTACTTGAGGGTTAAAACGACTGTGAAGTCATAAGCTTCAAGGTCCTATTAAAAAATCGAAAGTTGTGGTCATTTCCAAACAAGAAGGGCGGCAAAGCAAGTGAATATGTCAAAACTTGTAAATTGAACTATAATGCATAATCCCCAAATTTCGTTTTCTTAATCTTCAATAATAAAAATTATGGGGGTGAGTCACCTCAGAGATTCACCCGGTATATTTGTGAAGTCTAAAATGATCTAAAGTGGGGCCATTAGTCTCAAGAATATGTTGAACAACACGTGATTTGTCAAACCGATAATATAATTATGAAGTGGGCAATATGCTCTTTAAAAGTTGTGCCAATGCTTCTACGTGTTTGCCCAATATATTTCATGTTACAGGCTGTTGCCAGAGTGGAATATTCATCTATCAAATAGGATGAATTATTACTTGGGATTGAACGGATTGATGGTGAGGGTTTCATAGACTTGTGTTTTGAAAGCGTATATCAGTCTGTGTCCAAACTAGGCAATTTATTAGGCAATCCGAAAGATAAAGTGAACACACTTGACAAGTCTGGAATTTATGGTTACCGAGATGACGAGATCTCAATAAAACCCCTCGAATTTGGGACACCCTGTACTGTATTGTGCGGTAATTTGCTCTCAATTTCGCAATTTGATAACGAAATAAGAATCATATGCTACCCCACCCCTTAATCTGAATCAAATAACGATCAAATCCACGGTACATGATTTCTTGGCTGCCGTTATTTGGGACATACTTCGATATCGAGTTGAAACAAAATGGGATAATGTCCTTTTCGCGAATATCCAAACATGCCGCGATTCAAACTGATCTAGGTTAGTAGCAGAGAGTCAATATTTTCGAGTCTAGATAAATATATCCGATGGACCAAGTAAAACGTTGGCAAGTATTCAAGTTTTACGCTGGAAAATTGATTCGGTATTATCTTTCGAGAGTAGCGAAATATTATCGGAAATATCGACGCTCTGCCACTAACTTAGATCATCAGGTAGAATCACGTGACGCAAGTATGTCCGGAACAACGCTAACCAACAAAAAGTTATGCCGAAGATGCCATAATTCTCATGAAGGGTAATGAAATCTTACCTTCAAAGAGAAGAACTCCTCGTGCTGCCTCGTATTTCTACCTCCTGACGCCTGCTGAACCTCTTCGAACATCATATTCAAGCTGAGGCACATAGTGAGTGCACAGTTCACCTTCATATTACCAAAAATAATGATTAACAGTCTTCAATGCAGTTTTAGTAAGTGTTTGAGACTGTTTTAGAAAATGGGCAAGAACACAAATGCGTGAACTCACTCTGAATGTGTATACAGACATACAGAGAAGTGCACAAGAAACAACTAGTGCTGTAACTTCTGAATCATTCAAGATTGGATTCTGAAATTTGGTGGGTAGTAAGTATACCAAAATTTCTCATCAATTGAAGAAACTATTCATTTCCGGTTCAACTGAAGCAACAACCACTTCTGTTCTTAAATAGGACACCCTGTATATTTTTTCGTAGTTGAATTCATGTGATTGTTTTACACACACTAGACAATTTTTTTGATCAAATTATCAAAATTTTAAGGGTGCCTTATTTGAAAATTCAGAGTTCGGGTTGCTTTATGTTTCACCGAAAGTGATATAATAAATAATGGTAGTATTTTTTTGGGAAATTTTAAAGGAATAAAAAATTCTATAAAATTCTCTGACTTTTTTCATTGTGATTAACGTCCTGGTATTTCTTCTAGAAATTGGTGTTCTTATAAAGAGGAAAAAACGGACCTGAGTAATAATTTTCGACTCAACTTTTGCACAGGACAACAGTTTTACTAAACATTAGCTCCTCCATGGTGTGTAATGCACTGGGAAGAAGCTGATTTAAAGTCAATTTGTGAAAATTATTACTCAGATAATCATTTTTTAGATATACATAGTACATAGAATGTTGTTTCTTCTAAAGACTGCTGAATATAAGTTCTTGAATTGATTTAGGATGATATAAGAAAATCAAAGACATAAGTATTTTTTCAGTTTTTTGAATTTCTCAACACTCAATTTTTTCTTCAGTCTGGCATGTAATTCAGTACAGAAAATTATTCCATTGTACAAAATAGATCTTTTACCCATATTTGATTCAATTTTCATGAGAGTTAACATATCTGTTTGTCTGGTTATGTGTTCGTGTTCATGACTATTGACTTCAAAATTCAGATTTGAATGTTTATAATTATATTTGACGGAATGGAAGATATTCAATATTTTGAATTTGTAAATGGAGTTAATATCTAACAATTGTCAAGGTTTATAAAGATGTTTTGTTAGTTTCAAGTAGGGTCCCTTGATGGAAATTGACGTTAAAGTCATCTTAACGGACAGATCCTCGTCTCCTCTCACTCTAAAGTGTTTGTGAAACAGTTATATAGTTCCATCCTTATTCAATTCTGGGGATAAACACTAGATTTTTGACATTCGTTGTTTTTTAGGTTATATTGAGGTCACTGGCGTATCATACGTAATTTCCATATGGAATTCCTGATTCAATTCTCAATGACTATACCAAGATATAGATAAACAATCCTCTAGTTTTAGAGTCTACTACTCCAGCATAATCTTTGCGAGGTAGGAATCATATAAATTGTACTGAAAGCTTAATATATTTCAGCAAAAGAGACTGTTCTTAGACTGTAAATTAGGGTTGACTGATTGACTAAATGAATTCTGACTTCAAGCTGAGCAGAAGTTTATCTATGAGCTGAATGAGCTGAGCCTTATGATTGAGAAATGGTGGAAACCTCGATGTGGGTATCTGAAATACTGTATTCATGTCATGTGTGCTCAATATATTTTCGGAAATACAATTCTGAGAAGAATTTATGGAGTGACTAATATGACACTATGTATAAAACTTCATCTGGGATGAAAAGTAGGCTCAAGGCTGATGAAAAGTAATACGTTAAATGTGCAGGAAAATAAATGATATACAATATACTTCACTCCAATGTTATACATATGATTTTTCCGTCTCCCCTGAATAAAAAGTCATTTTCGAATAATTTATTGATGAAAGTAACAGAGAAGTAGGTATACGCAGTATAACTCACAGACACCTTATTTTCACTCTTGCATCCTACATATTTGGATTTGTGGTAGAGTAATAATTATATAAACTAATGTATTTTGCCATATTGGATCCGTCTTCTTGAATTTTCGAATTTTGACGAAACAATCATTATCTCCTACCCCGAAAACCCCCAGATACCAATCTTGAATAGAAGCAGATCATAATTAGGAATTTCTTTCGCTCTATCTTGGATTCACCATCTTGAATTTTCCAAGTTTGACGAAACAATCATTATCTCCAACCCCGGAAAACCCCAGATAACCTTCTAATTTTGAATAGAATCGGATCATAATTACAAAACTCGTTCGCTATCTGATGTTCCTCAACAAGTAAATACTTGTAAATTCCCTGTACATACCTATTATTGAAATTTTGAATGATTTTTGTAGCGCCCATGATTATGACGTGACAGCAATTTCAGGGATGCCAGTAGACAAAACTAAAGTCTCTAGATCATTAAAAAAGAATGCAGCTATGATCTGTCCTTACCCTGTTAAGGTGACTTTTACGTCAATTTCCATCAAGGGACCCTAGTTTCAAGTAATCTAGTTTGTATATACATTAAAAAACTTTGTTTTGAAGGATTTTGATTGGCTTCATAATTGATAACACACAGGTCAGTAACCTATGTGAAGGAGATACAATATAAAATATATATACATGTAATTGATATTCGATGACAAAATGTAGATTTTACTTAATTCAATAATCGAATTAATAGATTGAATGAATAAATAATAAATAAATAAATTATGGATTCAGCTTCAGAAAACCCAAAGACCAATAATTCAACTCACCTTGTTAATCTCTCTAGCCTTGCTCAAGGTCGCCTTCACGATATCCCCGTACTCGTTGTAGTACTTGACGTAGTGCTTGAATACGTCTGCGCCCGCCTTCGTCGGCATGATATTGTAAACGATGAGTTTGCAGTAGGCGGCGAGGAAGTTGCGCCTCTTGTGCAACTCCTCGATGCGCAGCTCGTCGTGCTCGGCATCTTGTTCGGGCACGAACACGTACCTGCCGATCCGAGCCGAAACGTCAAAGTCGAAATAGCTATTTATACAGGGTGTTGCGAAATTCGACCGACAACGCTTGATAGGTGGTAGCCCTCGTGATCTTGTAATCACTGAGATAGGGACATTCGGTCTTTAAGTGTTCAGTTCTCGAGATACAGGGCGTTGAAGTTAAGAAACAAAAATAGTTGTATCGCAATATCTCAAGAAATATTGAATATAATGCATTCAACTTGGTTTGATGACAGGTTGAGGTGGGACAAACATATTGATGTTCTGACAAAAAAAAATATCTCTAATTATTGGTGCATTGAGAAGATGTCCCAAACTTGATATTAAAATTGCAAACATGATTCTCTACTCTCATATACTGAGTCGTATCAATTATTTAATAAATGTTTGGGGATCTTGTTCAAAAAATAATTTCAATAAAATATCAACATTATATAGAAAATCGTTAAAAGTATTGTATCGTCTCCCATTTGATACACCAACCAATCAATTGTATGAAATAACAAATACGTATTCTTTAGATGAAATATATAGAATTGAAACTCTTAAAATATCATATAATATCATAAATAAAAAATTGAAGTCGAATATTATTTTGATACGGAATTCTGAAATTCATAATCATGAAACTAGACAATATAACTTGTTTCATCTTGACGCCGCTAGCTCCCTAATCGGACAAAAAATATTCACTCATTCAGCCTTAACTGAATTCAATAAACTACCTGATAATATAAAAAATTGCAGAAATATAGGTATATTCAAAAATGAAGTAAAAAAACTGATTATTTCTGAGCGGACTGGATAAAATTATTCATGCCTTTTTTTTTTACAAATATTATTCTTTGTTTGCCAATTTACAGTTGTTGATATATTTTGAATGATGCTATGTTTACCTATAGGTATATAATTATGTACTTCCTTATACCAGAGCCTATTCTGTCTGGAAGTTATTTGTTCAATAAATAAATAAATAAATAAATAAATAAATAAATAAATAAATAAATAAATAAATAAATAAATAAATAAATAAATAAATAAATAAATAAATAAATAAATAAATAAATAAATAAATAAATAAATAAATAAATAAATAAATAAATAAATAAATAAATAAATAAATAAATAAATAAATAAATAAATAAATAAATAAATAAATAAATAAATAATAAAAAAAAAACTTCGCTATATGGTTTCATCTTTGAATGAGTCATTTTTTGACCCGGAAGCCATTCCGGACATTTTATCCCGTGGTGCCCTACAGGGGGTTGTGACAACGTTTCCTCCCATATTTTCTACGCCACTGATTAAATTTCCAATTCCTCGAATTCACTGTTCAATTTTGTTAAAAAAATGCATCACCTCCAACTGAGCTGAAATGAACAGTTTTCGAGATATTCGATCGAAAATAGAAGATTACATAGTAAATATTTCATCATTTTCAGTAGTAGAAAATTGAAAAAATATTTTTCTGGTGTTGGGTAGGTTACATACTATTTATATCTTATTCTAGCTGAACAGAAATAGTTATTCCACGCATAAAGAGAAAACATTTTTTTTTGTAATTTTCTACTACTGAGGAAGATGAAAAATTACTATGCAAACTTCTGTTTTGGGTCAAATATCTCGATACCTGTTCATTTTAGCTCAGTTGAAGGTGATGCATTTTTTCAACATAATTGAACAATCAATTCAAAAAATTGAAAATAATCGAAATTTCATCAGTGGCGTGGAAAATATGGGAGGAAAAGTTGTCACAACCCTCTGTAGCGCACTTCTGGATAAAATTCTCGGAATGTCTTTCTGGTCAAAAAATTAACCATTGAAAGATGAAACCATATACCGAATTTGAATGCATTATATTCAATTTTTCTTGAGATATTGCGAAAAAACTTTTTTTTTCTGTGACGGGAAAAAAGTTTGGCATTTCATCTCTGTTGGCAGGTTATAAAATGGCACTTTTCATAAATTACTTTTTTCCCGTGGGAAAAAAGTGAGTACTTTTTTCCCGGATATATATCACATATATATACTCTGTTAATGGCTTTTGTTGTGCTATAGTTCCGAAAAATGAGTCAATAATACCGTCTCCGAGAAAGAACTGCAAGTCCTTTTATCTTCCATTCGACTTCGCGGTTTCGTATATTACTAAACAACTACTGAATTCGCAATTTCTTAAAATCAAATCACAGAATTGAACTGACAGAAAGTGACATCAGATATTTGATTACTTCAAAAGAATGATAAAGATGCCTATAAAACGCAGGTGTCCCTACTGTTAAAAACTTGAAATTTCACGTCGATAATTTTCAGATTTCGAAATAATGTAATATCTTCTCTATATTGATTCGTCCTTCCTTCTGTCACAGAAAAAAATAGTGTATTATACACGGGAAAAATATTAGATTTTAGCCTCGATTTTAGCTCACGGTTTTTTGTCTCCCTCCGCTACGCGTCGGGAGACAACACAACCTGGAGCTAAAATCTACTACTTTTTTCCCTTGTATAATAAATAACTATTAATTTCTTAACTTCAACGCCCTGTATCTCGAGAACTGAACACTTAAAGACCGTATGTCCCTATCTCAGTGATTATGAAATCACGAGGGCTATCACCTGTCAAGCGTTGTCGGTCGAATTTCGCAATATTTAGGTTTTCTGACAAAATATCTCAATATTGGACAGAAACACCAGTTTCAATAATTTTTTGAGAAATTTATCTGACAGCAATGAAATATAAAAGGTTCTTCAATCCTACTTTGTCACGTATTATGAATAATTCCCATAAATCTCTCATTGGCTGAATGAAGTTGATTACTAATAAAGATAAATTATGATATTTTTCGATAGTATCTATAATTTTTCACTATCGTTATATTACAATATGTTATTCATAACTTGTGAGTCATTTTTTGCTAATGAATTCGTTCCTTAATAAAACGGATCTGTTTTCTAGGAAAGTTGTAGATTATATCTTGCAACAGCGCCTAATACTTCGAGTCCGTCCACACCACTCAAAATACTGACAGGCACAACAAGAGGAAGGAGCCATGGTTGTCGGCTTCATTCTGTTCTGACCGATGACAGTAAATTAGGAAGGATAGTATCATTGAATGTAGCCGATAGTGATTTATTGATTCAATGATATTTTCGTTTAGGATCGAGCTCTATTCGAGATATTTCGATGCATAAATAACACAATCATAACCTATCAGAATGAAGCCAACTGCCTTCTGCATTCCTGCTCCGAGTGCATTTGTGGTTATGTATGTTTTTGTGTACCAGTTATACTTCTTCTTCCATTTTTTTCACTCGTTTTTCATTCGTCAGCTATTCGCTAGCTATATTCTTCACCATCAGCTATTTTCAGACTAGATTCAGAATGTACGTCACAGTGTGCCGCCCCGAAAACTAGAAATTGCTTCAATTTGAAAATGAAAACGACTTGGGCTTTATCGGTCGCTATTCTGTACAGCGTGGACATAAAACTGGAGAGTTCCGAACTTATTTTATAAAAATTCATCTGAAGGAAACTTCCCCATTATCATAGTTATAGTGTGTTTGAGATCATTGAAAATGGACGAATTGAGTGATGTGAAAGGACTCACATCGAAGTTGTTCAACTTACGTTTGCACAAACTCGTTCAACAATGCTTGCAGGGTCCCGTCTGGCCTGCACACCAAATCAGAAAGCGGCGGCGTCGAACCTTGCAATTGTTCGCTGAATACAATCAGCAGATCGCACAGCCCCACATATGACTCTTCCTTTATAACAATAATAATAGAAATAATATCACAAAACCTGAAGAAACAATTAGGGTTGGTTTTAAAATCTTTGAATTGTTCGAAAAGATGTTCGATTGGCGCCACTTGTGTTTCCCAGGCCTACTACTTTGAATTTCATGACAGTTTACTTTTATGAATCACTTATAAGCACCATATTAGATTTTTGCATAAAAGAATACAGAATGCAATGCTGGGGGAAAGTCAAGGTTAGATTATAAAGCTTCAGATCATATTTATCTCGATATTCATTCATTTAGTAACAAACATCAGCTGACGCAAAATTTTCCAGAAATAGAAGATGTTTATACAGATATACAGATAGAAATAAATCTAATGTTGAAATGACAAAACAATTATTTAGTGCATCAGACTGCTTAAAATCAAAGAATCTCAGTAATAGAATAGTTATATGCAGGGTGTCCCAAAACTGTAATTCAGAAAGTATAAGTTGTAAATCAGAATAGTTATAATTGTAATTCAGAAAGTATAACTTGAAATTCAGAGAATTGGGCTCCATCTAAAACCAGCAAGCTTTGTGGAGAGCATTCCCTGCCAACTGATTATTCACTTTAGACATACCAGGTACTGCTAGGTTATTTAAACCAGGTGCTGTACCTAGTATATTTTCATTTCCTAAGCATTTGTTACCAAAAAATGCTGATCCTCGCAGGAAAATAAGAAAACTAGGTAAATAAGAAAACTCGTAGGTACCTAGTTGATTATTAATGAAAATAAAAAGTATATTTACACCTCTTTAGAATACAAAACTAGCTAGTAATTTATTTTCAGGATGCATCTGTGGACATTTATAACTTGGGTCCTAAGGAAGATGTTTCCCATATAATGGACTTTGATTTGCCTACGACTTCCAGCTCCCAAGTTTCGGAGTTCATCAATAAAGAAACTCAAACTGTTCCATTCGAGAAGGATATTGTATTGAGAATTGTATTTTTTTAATTTCTCATGGGGATATGTTCGTAGGCAGTGACCTAATGGAAAAATAGGAACCTTTGGAAATTATGCTCAAAATGGACCTTTGTTACTCAATACCAGTCAAGAACCCCTTTTCAAATTTTTCCTATCGTTTTTCTTTTTCTTCTGATAGTGCTGAGACATTGTGCTTCTCTCGCCCTGTACAATATATTGTGACATTTGAATAAAAATTTATAATTTCCTGCTGCTGCATACAAATGAAATTTCATTTTCACATCAATAAAAAATTCAATAATAATTTTTTAATGATAACTGATTGCAACATTTTACTTTTTTCATAAATGAGTATTTAAACTGGGCGTCAATTGAAACGTTATTAGTGAAATTTGGCATCAAGTTTGACTTCTCATAATCTCTAAAATATTGAACGAATTTTGAATTGCCGCCCAGATTCTGGATGCCTTTTTCATCGTCTTTCGAACCGTTCCTTACAGCTTCTTCTAAATTGATCAGGACCCATGATACAGGGTGAAACAAAGTTTCGTGCATTTTGGAAAAAAATGTCTCCGCCCCTCCATTTTGTCGGAAGACCACGATGCTCATATTTTATTCTTTGCATTTTTTTTAAATGGATTAATTTTAGAGGAGTTCCATAAATGGATGCTTCTATGCATTCCAGGAAAGCGTTGGAGCAGATATGTATACCAGGTTACTCAAAAACAATCAATAATTTATTACTTCGCAGTATATGATGAAAGTTTTTTACATTACTGAGCAGTAAATCAACACATCTCATCAACAAAAACAAACAAGGATACCTTGTTTCTATAACAACGTATTGTGTGGAGAGAAACGAGTGAAAGGTATAGGGAAGAGCATATGGAGGAGGTGGTGTGACTGTTTGGGGTGGGATAATGAGGAATGGAAGAACGAAATTGGTAGTGCTAGTTGGCGAGAGTATGAAAGCTGAAAGATATCGAGATAGGTGTTTGAGACATGTTGTTGTTTCCTTTGCAAGGAGATGGGTTCATGTTGGTTGATGACAATGCGAGTCCCCATCGGGCACCTTCGAGACGACAAAACACGTGACCCACCTTGATGGAGGCGTGCGGCGACGTCCTGATGAGCGCCTGCGACGCCTCGAGGAACTCGTCCAACTTGCGGCGCACGTCCTGGACGTCTGCGTGCGCCAAACCGCCCCCCTCGGAGGCGGTTTCCAGGTCGCGCAGCGCCCACAGCACGCTGTAGTAGCACGAGCTGAGGCTGTACTTGAGCGCCTCGGGCGGCAAAGTGCTCTCCTGGTCCTAAAGAAAGAATTTACTCAGGAAGTAGAAGGTCGTTTCGAATTAGGACAGTGAACATTTCGGTATATGAACTAGAAATATCTTTATCAAGTTTTTGCTAGGGATAGATAGAATTGTATAAAGATAACGCAGGACGACTCAACGAAATCAGCATGAATTCAGCAAGGGAAGATCCACTGTCACCAGCTTACTATCTTTTCAAAATACAATCTTGAATGCTTTCGAGAAAGGGTATCAAGTTCACTCCATCTATACAGATTTCTCGAAAGAATTAGATAGGGTAAATCATGACCTACTGGTCGCCAAGTTAAATGCATACGGTATCTCGGGTAACCTGCTGAACTGGCTCCAAAGCTTCTTAACAGGCATGTACCAGTGGGTTAAAATAGGCAATTATTTCTCAGATATTATAGAAGTTAACTCTGGGGTGCCTCAAGGAAGTCACTGTGGTCCTTTACTATTTAACTTATTTGTAAATGACATTGCTACTTTTTGAGGATCTGAAAATTTTCAAAGTTATTGATAAGGAAAGCAATTGCCAAGAACTACAGTGTGATATTAATAACCTTGTTCGATAGTGTAATCTAAACGGAATGGATTTGAACCTTAATAAATGCTTCTTCATAAATTTCAACAGATGTCAGACACTTATGGATAATACATACTCCATTAACTCAATAGATCTCGAGAGAGTAACTCAAATAAAAGATCTTGGGGTATTATTGGATGACAGACTATCTTTTTCACAGCACATAATAATGATATCCCTGAAAGCACGCAAGATGCTTGGTTACATCAAGAGGGTATCCAGAGATCTCTCAATCAACTCCTTTGAGGTTCTCTACTGCGCTTTTGTCCGTTCAAACTTGGAGTATGCGTCGGTGGTGTGGAACCCCTATTATCAGACTTACATCAACTTGCTAGAAACAGTCCAACACAAATTCTTAAGAGCTTCAGCGTATAAACTAGGAATTCAGGTAGACAACTATGACTACGATTATCCATCCCTATGCTCATTATTAAAAATAACTACCCTAGAAAACAGGAGAATTGTTTTCTATTCAAGCTGCTAGCTGGTGAAGTCTGCTCTCCTGATCTCCTATGTCATATTGAGTTCAACATCAACAATTCTATCACTAGGTCAAAGGACACCTTTCACATTAGGCATTATTACAGAAACTATGGGTTCCACAGTCCTCTAACGAGAATGGTAAGGAAGGCAAATGATGTAGATTTGAACCACTTAAGAATACCCTTATCTACTTTCAGACTTGAACTAAAAAAATACTTCGCTCAGTGATACTAGACGTTTGTATGTGATTGATCTCTCATCATAATAAGGGTTTTTACAATTTTGTGTAGTATAATATGTATTGTTTCCTTCATATATTTGTAGAACCACTGTTTTAAAGTAGGAGTGTTAATGTCGTTAGCATTTGTAAGAATATTTTGAAGACCGCTATTATTATTTATTGTTTTAAGATTTAACTTGTACAGTGTTGTAATGGATATTTCCGTGATAAAATAAAAATGAAAATATTACGAGAACGAATGCACTTGGGAAGTAGAATGTCATTTCTAATAGGCGGGTAGAGTATTTTTTTTATTTCTTGAATAGAATCAATACTTAATTACCTTTCAATTCCATATTCTTTAAAATTTTTGTGGTCGGTTTTAAGGTGCTTCTTCTGCTTCTCTTTAGGTCTATTGGATTTCTGTCTCCTTTCGGTAACAATTTCTCCAGATCAGGTAATTAATTTTTTTCAAAAATAAATACTTGGTTATGTAATAATATTATCAGTCGACTCGCCACATAAGGCACCGGTTGTCTATCACAATGGCCTGAAGCCGAGTCATCAGTGTTCATATGATTCTAACGTATGTACTCCTCTTATCCAGCAAATCCGTTGCTGATCCGGCCTGGTTACCGGCGTAGAGATAATGGAGCACGTTTGACTTTAAGTATGTCCCCCTTATCCGATGAATCCATCATCCGGCCTCTATACCGGCGTAGAGATAAAAGAGCCTGATATTTCTCACACACACTTTTAAAACTTCACATGGAATATTGGATTTCAATCCAGATCAGGTGATTAGAAAATTTTGGACTTGCACACATGCCATGTTTCTCCTACCGTGGCCAAAAGAAGGTGCTCAAATCATCAATATTGCCATGGTAATTTTCAAACGGCTAGAAATTTACCGCAAATAAAAACTAACGTCACGATTTTGTAAGTATAGGCAGACCATAGCACAGTTGACATATGAATGGGAACCTCAGGAATATTATTTATTTGATAATTCATAAATTTTCAATTATTTATAGGTAATATTCTTAATAAGCTATAAAAAATCCATTGTCTTATAATTTTCTCTCTTATATGTTTTGATTGTCCACTAGATCGCGCTACTGAGACGTGAGCTCTTGCATGATCCATACTTCTTCTTTCGTTTCATTTGACCTCTACTCTAGGATAACTTCTCACCTGTTAAAGTGGAAGTTACGCATAAAGTTTCAGATTGATAGCAAACAACCCGAGGTTGATCATACCTTTTTTTTTTACATCAAGCACACCACTGTTTCAACAAAGAGCAGGAATGTCCAGTATTGCTACCGCGTGAACGAACCAAAATCGCGACTAAGTGTAAAAATGTTAGCCGTCAATACAGTCATGAACCATCAACGTTGACGAACTTTTCAAATTTTCCATCTCACCTTCACATCCTGAAAGAGAGTATTCCACAAATTCCAGCTGTTCAAATTGTGCGACGAATAGAAAACGGACACCTTCTTCAGCGTGCTGACCACGTTGAAAACCTCGTCGGCGTTGGGCGTTTCCTCGCCCAAAAGCAGATTACGCCAATCGTCGATCGCCTCCTTGTAGCTGGCCACAATCATATCGACGATGGTCGATCTGGCAACGTCGCAACGCGTGTAGATCGAATGACCCTCGGTGCACAGGATCTCCAAGGTTTTCGCCAACGTTTCCAATACCTTCATTCAGAGGGAATCGGTCAAGTAATGTAGAGTGAAAACTGCGGTAGTCTCTTGTTTTTCATTCGCTCATTGATATGGAGCGCCTAGTGGTTCAATATGGGAACGGCAAAATTTTACGTTATTGAGTCCCACACTTCCATCGAAAGTAATAAATAAGAGTGGTGAGAGAAATTCAAAGCAAATCGATCTACATTCAATCCACCCATTTCATTTTTGATACTGCTTGAAAATTGAGTTTTCAAAAAACAAAATAGACTTGTCCTTAGAGGGAATCAGTCTTGTAATGTAGAGCCAACAATTTTTTTTAGAGTGAAAACTGCGGTAGGCTCTTATTTTTCATTTGTTTATTGATATGGAGCGCCGAGTGGTTCAATATGGGAACGGCAAAATATTACCTTATTGAGTTCCACAATCACATCCAAAGTAATAAATAAGTGGTGAGAAGAAATTAAGAGCAAATACAATCTACATTCGATCCACCCATTTCATTTTTGATACTGCTTAAAAATTGAGTTTTCAAAAAACAAAATACTTAGACTTGTCCTAAGTTTTTTTGCAAAGTCTCAATACAACAATAATAGCGAATTAATTCTATAGGTACTTAGGTACCTGATATTTTGTTTGTGTGAAACATTGCTACTGTATTTCCTAGAGAAAAAAATCGAGCTTTCAAACTCACCTCTGGTTCATGATGAACTTGTACTATATGTTTCAATTTCGCAAGCAAAGCTTGCAAATTCCCCTCCTGTCTACCACTTGTGTACAAATCCAAATCGAAATATTGAGGAATGCTCAGTAAATTCGCCAGTTTTTCTGGGTCTGCCGAATATAATTCCAACAATTGCGGCAAGGATACTATGAAATGTTCAGTAAGTTTCTGTTTGTCTTCACCAGCCTGAAAGATACAACTTAGAAAATATGTTTTTTCATCGAAAAACACAAAAATTTACAAGAAAAGTGGATATTACAGTAATACATAAGTGGGACAAACAAGGAGACCCAATGTAAGTAGGTTCAAGGAACATATCGAATATTCAAAGTATGGTAGACTAGACAAATAAAGCGCCGGGACATTTAAAACTTTATTTCATAATAATTAGAAGTATATGAAATCCTAGAATAGTGATAGAATTCATATATGATGTATTACAACCCTCTATATTGTTTTGGTAATTCAATAATAGGGCCTTCGAGTGAGATTAGGTACAAACCACCAGAAATAGTACATTGTTTACCGGGTAGGAAAAGCTTAACATTCCTGGGCGACTGTGAAGATTGCTAGTCGAGGCGCAAGCCGAGACTTAGCAACACAGAGTCCAGGAATGTGGCTTTTCCTACGAGGTAAACATACTATTTTTCCGCAAATCGTTTAAAATTCGACAGGTATTGATTGATTTAAAAAAAAACGCGATAATTTTATTCCCAAATAAATGGTGCTTTGAAATTCCTGATAAAATTACTTGGGTTACTATGGAAACGTATTGAGGTTGAATTGTCAAACTTGACGCTTATAAAGGACCCCGCACTTTTAGTGCGTAAAATGGTTCTCGGTGAAATTTTCTGAATTTTCAGTATGTTGTAGAATTCGATGAACTGATTGAACCTGCAGAATCGTAAAGTTCTTCGATGAACAGATTCTGAGATACAGGGCGTTGAAGTTACAAATCGTTATTTTTCATTTAATTATTTTCTCGAAATTCAAAGATGCCAAGTACAATTTTCTTCGCTCATATCATTAACGAACCTCCATATTACTCAACATAATTCAGATGGTTCAGATGATGTAATTGTTTACAGAGTGAAACATATAAACATTTCAGTGATGTCTGAAAATTCGATGTAATAATGAAATATCGAAAAAATAATTCAGGCATGCAATATACTATTCTCATTCCATCATGAATCACAATTCATAAATTTCATACAGGGTGATTTGAAAAATTGTTGACACCTAAGACCGATTTATTCATACACATCGTGTATATTCGAGTGAATTGTTAACCTCCCGAAATAGCTGATACCGTATGAACATGATTTCGTTGAGATTTATAGGGTGATCATGAAGATTTTCGATGATGAAAATGACAAAAAATCGTGTTTTTTGAAATCCCCCTGTTATTCATGATTAACTCGGTGAAATTCCCTAATTATTTTTTAATATATTCATCATTCGCTCCTCAACGCTGTCTTGAAAATTCAGTTCCCTATCATGACGGGTGTCATAGTTATTAATTCAGGAACTTACCATTTGCATGAAGAGTTGAAGAGACTTGTTCACTTACATTCGCATATAGTGGCCGATATTTTTCACAAATAGTGAAACGAGAGAATGTGGAGACGAAATTAGGTCTAGAATTCATATACATTGTGAACATTAGAAATTCAATAACAATAACAGATATATGAATTTAATAATATTAATATAATGTACAGATAGTTAGGCGAATTTCGTTGGTATACAAGCTCTCCCAAAATGAAAAACGAACAATACCTAGGAAATGGGAGAATGATTAGGTCTTTCCCGCTTCCATTTCTAATAGGGAGAGTTGAATCCTGGAATCGACAGATTTTTTCACATTTGTTTTCCACTCAGAATCAGGCGTTTCCATCATTTTCATATTACCAACGAAATTCGCCCAACTATCTGTACATTATATTAATATTATTAAATCCATATATCTGCTATTGTTATTGAATTTTTAATGTTCACCCTGTATATGAATCCTCAACTTATTTTCGTCTCCACATTCTCACGTTTCACTATTTGTGAAAAATATCGGCCACTAAGCGAATGTAAGTGAACAAGTATCTTTAACTCTTCATGCAAATGGTAAGTTCCTGAATCAATAACTATGACACCCGTCATGATAGGGAACTGAATTTTCAAGACAGCGTTGAGGAGCGAATGATGAATATATTAAAAAATAATTAGGGAATTTCACCGAGTTAATCATGAATAACAGGGGGATTTCAAAAAACACGATTTTTTGTCATTTTCATCATCGAAAATCTTCATGATCACCCTATATATCTCAACGAAATCATGTTCATACGGTTTCATCTATCTTGGGAGGATAACAATTCACTCGAATATACAGGATGTGTATGAATAAATCGGTCTTAGGTGTCACCAATTTTTCAAATCACCCTGTATGAAATGTATGAATTGTGATTCATGATGGAATGAGAATAGTATATTGCATGCCTAAATTATTTTTTCGATATTTCATTATTACATCGAATTTTCAGACATTACTGAAATGTTTATATGTTTCACTCTGTAAACAATTACATCATCTGGACCATCTGAATTATGTTGAGTAATATGGAGGTTCGTTAATGATATGAGCGAAGAAAATTGTACTTGGCATCTTTGAATTTCGAGAAAATAATTAAATGAAAAATACCGATTACTTCAACGCCCTGTATCTCAGAATCTGTTCATCAAAGAACTTTACGATTCTGCAGGTTCAATCAGTTCATCAAATTCTACAACATACTGAAAATTCAGAAAATTTCACCGAGAACCATTTTACGTACTAAAAGTGCGGGGTCCTTTAATTGCTGGTGTTCTCGAAAGTAAAATGATAAGTGATGATGAAATTTCCATTACTGGGACTCCTCCAGAGCTGGTTGAGGCAGTGAATACTGCTTCATTAGAATTATTGCCAAAGAAATCAAGAGAAAAGTACGAAAATGCATACAGACGTTTTATGGATTATCGCATGAGTAAAAATACGAGTTCTTTCTCAGAAAATGTTGTAATGGCATACTTCCTAGACCTTTGTTTAAAGATGAAATCTTCAACATTATGGGCCAATTATTCAATGCTGAAGTCAACCCTTGCAATTAAACACAATGTAGATATATCTACATACTCAAAACTTCGTTCTTTATTGAAACGGCAAGCTCAAGGTTATAGGGCAAAGAAATCTAAGATTTTAACGAAGGAAGAAATTGAAAAATTTATCCAGGAAGCTCCAGATAAAGAAAATTTAATGATTAAGGTAATTTATAAGGTTTTAATTTCTATTTAGATTATACCTTTATTTATTTTTTAGGTGGCTGTAATATTTGGTATTTCTGGGGCCTGTAGAATGGATGAGTTAGTCCGAATGACTGTACACGATATAGAAGACCTAGAATCTAAGCTTTTAATCAGCATACCTGATTCGAAAACCAACAAACCAAGATCATTTGTAATAAATCAGATCTACTTGAATGTTTATCGAAAGTATGTTTCGCTAAGACCAGAAAATATGAACAGTGACCGATTTTTCTTCAAATATCAAAGCGGAAAGGGTTGCAGACAAGTGGTAGGAATTCATCAATTTAGAAAAATGTCCAAAATAGTTGCTACTTATTTGAACTTGGTAAATCCGACAGAATATACTGGTCAGTGCTTTCGTCGGTCTTCTGCAACAATATTGGTTGACTCTGGTGCCGACATAACTAGTTTGAAGAGGCATGGCGGATGGAAGTCATCAAACGTTGCTGGAGGATATATCGAAGAATCGCTTAACAATAAGGTTGAGGTGGCAAATAAAATTTTCACAGTACAAAATATTCAACAAAATAACCCTACCACCCCGCATGTTGTCCAAAATGTTTCTCATAGTTCTGACAGCGTTCCTCCAATGTTCAATTATTGTACTAACTGTCAAATTACTGTAAATATAACAAATTGATCTTAAAAATGTATTCAGCAATGACTTGATGTTTTCAAAATATAAATTAATTCCTTATAAGCAATGTGTTTTCAATCATTTATGTAGAACACTAACAACTGTACGGAAATATCATTTCCTTACAGTAAGGAAATGACATTTCCTTACAGTAAGGAAGTCCTGACTTTTTCTTCAAGAAATTTTGACAGGAATGTCAAAATTTCCTAGCGATTTGCGGAAAATAGGATAATTTTGAATATTCACCTGATAATGTGTTCAAGTTTTGTTGAATGTACAATTATTACATCACACTGAAGGTTTCAAAAGGTAAAGTACCAGACATAGTATCAGTACAAACCTGCTTCAATTCTCTAATGGACGCCATCTTTCTCGTTGGCCCCCTTCCCACGGGGGCTTCCCCTGTCGCTGCCTGCTTTATACAACATACCATAATCTCTATCAAACTCGTTTCTTGTCTGTTATCTAGCGGCTCTTCGTGTGGCCCTGCTTCTTCTAATAGCAGATCCGTCATGCATTCCCAATCCTAAATATCATTTCATTATCATTAACAATTCATTTTGATCCAGAATGGCATCCGCTATAATGAATTTGACACTTATGAACCATCAAGGCACATAGAGTCCAGCCTCTACCTAAATAGGACAAATTCCGTTCTCCTTCCAAATCCACAGTTGTTTTGTCAGGTTAGGTTAGGTTATATTTTAAAATGGCTACGAATAAATGCATGAAACGATGAAGAAATAATTGATAATCTTAATTATGTTAGATTAGCTTAGATGAAGTAGACTCTTTTGTTCTTTGTAATTAATTTTCTCAAAATTTCAATGAAGAGGTAAAGGTATAATTGTAAAATATGTCTTGCATCAGTGGTTGCTTCGCTGGAAGACATATTGAAGGACAATATATTTGGAAGGCCACTATATTAAATATTTCAAACACTGAGAAAGCTCGACGTGTACTATCGAATGGCACTAATAAAAAAAATTTAGGGATCAAAATAAAATTTGAGGTTAGACCCTTTCTTCCACCCAAAATTCTACACTGTAGCAAATCTGACGACACCTCTGTTCAAGTTTCCATGCGGTAGGCACAATCACGCGGAGTTTAATCATTTAAATTGTTTTAAAGTGGCGTACTTGACTTTTTTCTCATATTTTGTTCAGTTTTTAGGATGACATTTCTCGTTAATTAGTTGATTAAAAGAATTTAAAAAAATCTGATATCATGGGAATATTCCTTAGGCTGTATCACATTAATGTGCTGAATAAGTGCACTTATTCCCCTCAGGGGCTCACGACTTGTGAGTACGGGAATGGCAATCCCGAGGTACCCTAGCCAGATACTCATTAATCTTCAACTTGTCTTTGATGGTATCCTCTTCACTCTTCAGTTTCCAATCTTTTTCTTCATCGGCCTCCCTTGGTCACTTCTCCTCTTTTCCTTCTCCCCTAAAGCCCAACCTTACCATAGTGCGGGGAGGACAAGCCGCGGCTGCTCGGCAGATTGAGCATTTTGAGAACATCTTTGCTGTCATCACTCAGATGGGACAGTTTTGTGGACATCTGAGTGCGAGGATGGGGCAATTTGTGAACATCTGCTTATGTGGCCGCGGATTTATAACGAGGCTCTGGCAATCCCTTCAGGGGCTCACAACTTGTGAGTACGGGAATGGTGAACCCGAGGTACTCTAGCCGGATATTCACCATACTTCAACTTGTCTTGGGTGATATCCTCTTCTCTCTTCCGTTTTCAATCTTCCTATCGACCTTTCTTGGCCAACTTCTCTTTTCCTCTTCTCCTCCAAGCCCAACCTCACCATCAAGTGATGTAGGGAAGCCAGGCCGCGGCCGCTTGACACATGAAGCATTTTGGGACCATCTTTGCTATCTTCTGCCAGATGGGACAATTTGTGGACATCTGTGGCAGGGATGGGGCGATTTGCTGATGTCTGTCTAGGTGGTCGAGTACTGGTCAACGAGGCTCTGGCAACCTAATCCAAGCTGTGGGAACCCGTGGCGATGGATGGATGGCACCGAGGAATGGTGTCGCTAACGGGGCCTCTGGGAAACAGGGCGACATCCCAGAGTAAACAGCCTTAGCCCTGTGCAGGGGGCACCACAGGGCTGGACCAACCCCTTCCCCCGTCACTCGTAGGAGAAGGAAAGCTTTTGGCCTTGTTCGTAGACGAGAACAGGGATCGGAATAGCAATCTTCAGGGACTTGAACGGGAAGGGTCTTTCATATTGAAGTGGCCCTTAATAAGCACCATGAGCCGTATGTGGTAAAATTGATAACGGCATGTAGGTGAGATACAATGGGCCACTAGGCCTAAGTGTCGTCGGAGCCTACAACGGGGTGGAGTGTTTAGTGGATATACCATGGAGAGGACTCCCACACTATCATATGGGGGATTGGACCCATATGATGTCTATAAAAGATTTCAACCAACTCGGCGGGAAAAAAAAGTGCACTTATTTCAAATCAAATGCACCTTGTATATACTTTCTTGGAATAAAAAGTTGATTTTAGAGGAGAATTTTATATATTAGATATTCCTTAATGAGGCAACAGTTGAATATGTGAACTTTGTGAACGATAAATATCAATAAATGGGGACAGCACAGCTTAATCATTAGAAGAGTTTTTCCATCATTTGCTTCCCAAACTGGGATAATCCTAAGATAACATTCGCATTCCTCACCTTCATCATGCCGTTCGATTCGATGAGCGAGTCCACCAAATAAGCGGCGTGCTCGTGCAGCTCCGACTCGATGAAGAACTGCACCAGGTCCCTGATGAACGGCGTGTTCGGCAACCGGCGTTTGCCGCGCTTGGTCTTCCCAGCGTCCGATTGGTCGCCGGGCTGGAACAGCCGCTCGTTGAGGAACTCGCCGGCCGCCTGAGCCACCGCCCTGTGCGACGAGTACACCTGCAAGGGGGGGTGTAAGGGCTCATATTTTTTTTTGTAAAAGTATATCGCTACTTCAAAGAGATGAAGTGTGACGCTGTACAGGGTGGGCAAAATTGGGCGTTTTCACCGTCTATCTCAATAACTAGAGGAGTTATCGAAAAACCGATATACATGTTCCGGGTTCGATTTTGGAGAAACCTCGAATGGCACAATCAAAATTTCGATATCTTCATTCGTTTTTTAGAGATACAGGGGGAAATTGAAAATTTGCCGATTTCGATTTTATTTTCTGACTACTTTACGGTGAGAGGTATCAAAAAATTTCGAACGTTTATTCATACAGTATGATGCGTGGAATCCATTGGCATCATCAGAAATTTTATACAGGGTGACGTTGAGAAAATACGGCAGCCAATTATGTTTTTTCTAATGGAACACCCCGTATATTTTGGCACAGTTGAATAGTCCCAGGCGTTCTCATTACAAATATATATATAACCCTACCTTTTTCATCTACAATTTCAGATATATTCGCAAAAATATATTCAGTGTGTCACATTTCTTATGGTTACACCCCCGTATCTTCTGTAAGAATAATTGATGGAAACATTAATAATCATAATATTTTGTGGCAGAATGCCTGAATATGATACTTTACCCATTATTTCTAGTATGCCTTAATATTTTTGCGTTCAAAGAGATAATAAATAAGATATATATTTGAAATTGAAACGGGAACTTTCCAGCTCTGCCAAAATATACGGGGTGTTCCATAAAAAAAATTGTTCTGTATCTGGAATTTGGACATCTTCTATAAGGCTATATTTTTCAACGCAACCTACTGATTTCCTAATTGAGTAAATTATTGGTCTTATTTCTGTATCTCAAATGTCTTGATAACAATGATATCAAATCGAATAATTTCCCATTTCATTTCTCACCGAATATCCATTTATCTGGAAATTACATTCCCTATGATATTTATTTTCCACATTTGGTGAATATATACAGAGTGTCATTTTCAACCTCGATTCTGCCTGTTGATAGATCCAGAAATATCGATGAATCCATAGCTGCTGGTGAGCAGTGTTATCATTGGAGATGATCCCACTTGGTCCATGACTCCATGAGTGTATCATTTGTATCTTTCTGACAGTTGCGAATTTTTGAATCCTATCTCAATAATTATTTTTACAGAAGATACGGGGGTGTAACCATAAGAAATGTGACACACTGAATATATTTTTGATAATATATCTGAAATTGTGGAAGAAAAAGGTAGGGTTATATATATATTTGTAATGAAAACGCCTGGGACTATTCAACTGTGCCAAAATATACGGGGTGTTCCATTAGAAAAAATATAATTGGCTGCCGTATCTTTTCTACGTCACCCTGTATAAAATTTCTGATGATGCCAATGGATTCCACGCATCATACTGTATGAATAAACGTTCGAAATTTTTTGATACCTCTCACCGTAAAGTAGTCAGAAAATAAAATCGAAATCGGCAAATTTTCAATTTCCCCCTGTATCTCTAAAACGAATGAAGATATCGAAATTTTGATTGTGCCATTCGAGGTTTTTCCAAAATCGAACCCGGAACATGTATATCGGTTTCTCGATAACTCCTCTAGTTATTGAGATAGACGGTGAAAACGCCCAATTTTGCCCACCCTGTACATCACAAAAGATTGAACATACTGGGAACACACCAGCTGACTGTGGAAGAAATACCACAGCTAGACCCCCTCAAAATCCTCAAATTCCTGAAGGAATTGAATATCGAGGGGCTGCTATAAACAAGAAATCCTTGATATAGAACGGCTAGGCTCTGGAATTCATTGCCTGAGGAAGTATTCCCAGAAGTTCAAAAAAAATTCCAATGCCTACCTCCTATCCCTATCCTCCCTAGGAACGCACAATGTTCTTTGAACATTATAGGGATTCCCTTTCGTGCGCTTCAAGCGATAAAAAAAAAAAAAAAAAAAAAAAAAAAAAAAAAAAAAAAAAAAAAAGCAGATGGGGCACAATAGATCTAATTAGGTCGCAGCGCATCTGTCACCATCCAACCTACCAATACCAATACCATATCAACCCAATGTTTTTATATTTTTTTTATTACAAGATATATTACATCATATTATTATTATTATTAGTAATTATATTATTATAGGAATGTAAATTATACTTTATATTTATTTATATCAAATACATATTATTTATAACTATGCATGACTAGTATGTCTCATTGATTCAAACATTTTGAATTGGTACCAATGATCATGGATAATTTCATCATAATAATTTATCATTTATACTCTCTGTATACGAAATGCCACTCAAATAATACCGATACCGATTCATTCACATATCAGACTGAATTTTGCCATCACGAAAAGATACAGAGTGGACAAAAAAATAATCTATGCATATATTCGACATTGACATTCTGTAACTCGAAAGTTAGAACGCAATCGAGATATGTTCATATATGGAGTTTAATTCTTGAAATGGGTCGAATAATCGGCCCCTTGAATATTAGCATATCATTAAGGGACACGTACCCTGTATATATTTCAAGTGCAACACAATGCAAAAATCTCGATCTAACTGCATTTGAGGAAAAAATAAGTATTTTTGGAAATAAAATCACGCATCGTGATACACCTTTCATGCAGTTGTTGAGAAGTTTATCAGATTTTTCCATATACTTGAGATGGAAGTACACAGAAGTGTCTTGAATGACCCTGTATATATTGCATCTAAATAGAAATTCTCGTTGTCATCCCGTATATACTATACTACCACTATTATCTTTCTTAGTCATAGATAAAACACCTGCTCGAGGGTTAATCGGTTAGAAAGGTGATATAACTAATTAGTCATTCGGGTTGGTGAATCAAACGATAAGCGTAAACTCATTCAGTTTTCTTTCAGATTTCATAGAGTGCGGTCGATTCAAGTGAAAGTGACAATTTAAATTTTCCCGACTAGTTAAGTGATTATATTGTATTTGTGTGTGGTGTTTTGGTGTTTTGTGTGTGGTGTTTCGGTGTTTCGTGTGTGGAAAATTGTGATCATCTAAAAGCCAATGGTATGGATTATATTTTCGGGAAATATGTTCATTTTTAAACCGGTAAGTGTTTTTTATTGCTTTATTATATATGAATATTTATTTAAATATCACGTGATGCGTACTTTTGCTTCACACTCTCTAACTAATTAGTATCTATACCTATACCTATTCAATATACAGGGTGTTGGTGAATAGGTGCGACAAACTTCAGGAAGTGATTCCTTGTGATATTTTAGTAAATAAAGTTCATATAAACAACTTGCTTCGTTTTTGATATACAGGATGTTGAAGTTGAAAGTATTAATTGTTTTCATTTATGACGCCCCTGGGTAATTTTGCACTTATCATGCGATGGGTTTTTTTTTCGAAAAATTTTTTTGGTACTTACGTATTTTTGTCTGAAAAACACGAATTTGATAATGAAAATGTGAACAAACCATCGAGATATTTCAAGAAAAAGTTTGAAATTTTGCCTTCTTTTCCCCCTTGTGTTGGATGCATTTACAGGTACTTGCTCTTATTATTTTGTCATTGGACACTTTATATACTCATGATGTACTTCACATTTTAAGATAGAAAATTCAACAGGAAATATGATTTTTATGGCGAGTTTTTCCTATTTAGTGAGCAAGCATACCAGATGACGGCCATTTAATCCATAGGCAATCCAAATACGAGATGTCAAATGTTAATAGATTGCCTTGGAATGACATTACACACGCCATTATTTCAAATGATATTCTTCCTTCTTTTCACTAAACATGGATAAATCACAAGAAAATCATATTTCTAGTTGACTCATATAATAAAAAAATGTGTCCAACATTGTGTGATATATATAAATTGTCCAATGATGGAAAAAGAAGGGCAAATTGTTCTAAATGTGATCCAGAAGACAGGCGGAAAAGATGGTGAAATTTGTAACTTTATAGTGAAATATCTTAATAAATAATGGTTTGTTCACATTTTCATTATCAAATTCGTGTTTTTCAGACAAAAATACGTGAGAATCAAAAAAAAATTTCGAAAAAAACCCATCGCATGATAAGTGCAAAATTACCCGCCCCTGTATAAGCTTTCATGGTGCCAAAATTCAGTATGGTTGGAGACTGAAAAAGTCCCGAAATTTCAAAATGATTCTTATTGAGGTTATTGAGTAATCTCGATGAATGTTTAGAGAGCACCTACATTAAAATTTGGAGTCAAATCGAATTTTTATTGTTTCCTTAAATACTAAGCGAGATACTAAAGAAACACAAAGGATAAGGAAGTTGATATTTCAATAGTTCAATCTAATAAAAATATGGAAGTCAGAAAAAGCAGTGGCGTACAATGATATCAACCGTAAATGTCGATAAATTAACCCACTGTGACGCCACTGAATATATTTTTTCGAATTTAATCACATCAAAAGAAGCTCCATATTACATTCAACAGAACCATCAAGTTTCATTGAAATTGTTGAAAAGACATTTGAGTTATGATTAAAAAAACGATTTTTCATGGAAATATTAATACCCTGTATCTCGAGAACGAAGCAAGTTAGGACACATGTTTATATAAACTTTATTTTCTAAACTATCACAAGGAATTACCCCCTGAAGTTTATTCTTATTCATTAACCCCCTGTATATAGTTTGATCAGATTTTGAAAAGAGAAAAAAATCAATTTTTTCAAATTTCAAGGTCACGAAAATCTTAGGAAGGGAAGGGGAGAAAAATTTTATTGGAAAAAAGTTTTCACAAAATTTCAACAAACATTTTGCCACCATGAAAATGCCGGAATCTTACGTTCTTTTTTTTATCACCTTCACCCCAACCCGTATACGGACAAGATATATTTGGCATTTCCAGAATACACATTCTTGCCTTCACTACACGCGAGAATACCCGTCCTCGCCCACATTCAAGCTATATTTGGCATTCCAATACAGGGCGTTTAGGAAATTTGGGCAAACAAATTTTTTTTCTGGCGCACAATCTTGACACGATTCCAACAAAATTTACCAAAAAATTCCATCACTTTTACTCTTCCCACAAAATGAAAAGAACCCTCCCATTATCTATACCCACCAATACGGAACGTGAGCACACTGTACGGACCGGGCTACAGATGAATCTGAATGAGATACGAAAAAATTTTATTGGCAAAAAAATTTTTGAAATTTTTTATAAAATTTTTGAAATTTTTTTTTAAATTTTTGACAAGAAAAAAAATTCAATTTTCCAAATTTTCAAAGTCACGAAAATCTTAGGAAGGGAGGGGGAGAACAATTTTATTGGAAAAAAGTTTTCACAAAATTTCAACAAACATTTTGCCACCATGAAAATGCCGGAACCTTACGTTCTTCATTTTGACACCTTCACTCCAATGTTAAAACCCCTAACAGCATGTTGTGAAAAATTGATATTTTTTTGATATGACAATAACGAATTACAATATAACTTTCGGAACTCAAAGCCCTTTTCTGAAAACTATTTCAATGAATGATTTAAACTGTACACTGTACAGTCAAATGCAAATAACATGTCGTAGTTGGATGGTGTTAGCACTCTTATTGCAAGGGTGACTAAAGGTGCTAACACCGCCCATGTGCGACATCTTCATTGCATCTGACTGTACAAGAGTAAGAATTGATCTGAACATACATTATCAAGTGTAACGAATTCATTATTTTACTTTTGGACGTGAGCAAAAAATATTGACATTTTGCAAATTATACCGGGTGATTTTCCAAGGTGGCTTACCCCAATAACAATTTTTTACATATTTATACTTGCTTCGCCATATTCCGGTTTGACCGGAAATTATATACGACCCTAACTCTCGATTTTTGAATGGGACACCCCACCCCGTATTCTTAATCGGTTAGGGATTATTATAACGGGTTCAACGGTACCGGGTTTGATAGGGTCATTTCAAAGGATTTCGAAGATATTTGCATTTGGAGCTTACATATGCTCAATGGGTGTGAAGAGAAAGATTCGATATTGAGCCGTCACACCCATTGAGCATATGTAAACTCTACATGCAAATATCTTCGTAATCGTTTGAAATATTCCTATCAAACCCAGTATCTTTGATGACGAATGATGATGATAATTTTCAAGTTTTTGATTTTTCAACTCCAGCATAATCTTTGTGAGGCAGTGAGCAAATTTTTCTGAATGTTTAATACGCTTTACCGGATGGGGTCGTTCTTAGGCAGTACCTATCAATAAATGAATTTTAATTTCAGACTGAGCCTTATGGTTGAGAAATAGTGAAAAATGTTATGTAGGTATTTAAACTAATGTGCTCATATGTCATGTGTGCTGTATATATCCATGTTGGGAATCATTTTTGCAGTTTTTCAGGAACACTTAATATTTCCTGAATGTAGGTATAATTTTTTAAATGGTAGGACATATGCCTCTTCTTTTAATCCTCCGTTTTAATCAAAACTGTTTCTACTGAAATGCGTTCAAAAACTTGTGGAGTGGATAATGGGCTTGTATCACACAAAATTTTTATTTCATGATTCGATAGAACTCACCCAAACTAGCTCACCACCGCAAACCGTTTCTTGCTGTGAGCTCCCTACGTTTTATAAAAAATTATTGAAATCCCCGATTTTTCGGACCTCTGAAAACGAGGCGATGATGTGACGTCAAAACCCTAATACTGAAACAAGACTATTCCAGACAGAGATGAATGATACATGATTTCTGACAAATCAATTCTAACCTAGATTGACTTTTTGCAGCTCCATGTGAAACGGGTCAACAAAGCAATGTTGCTATGTTTATGAAATATATTGGATTATTGTGAAATTGTAATGGTGCAAATGGTTTTGAGATTGAGACATTTCGTTGTCTAGAGATTGTTTATACTCCAATGATTCAACCTACAATCGACAACTCGAATATATTTTTCTGCAGTAGTGGTAGTGGATATCAAAAGATATTTCAATATCGATTTCGATTTCTCGGATATTTTGTTTGGATGATATGGCAACAGTAATAAGTGTCAGGAGAGTGTCAGTTTCAACCATATATCTACTATTTCTATATATGGCGCATCGCCTATAAGATATCTCAACAAAAATGGGACCAAAATGAGAGGTACTCTTTGAATCTATGAGAACGAAAAGTGAAGGATGGAAACAGCCATATTGGTTTGACAAATTTCCTATTATTTTTTCCCTACGTCGGTATCAACGCCTATTGGTCGATTTCATTACCTATAGAGACAGAAATGGGTCCCGCTTTGAGGAGAGCTATGATTCATATATCAGTAGTAGATATATATGGTTTATATTATATATGGCGAGATGGGGTTTCTACGTCATAAGAGGGTCTCCGTTTTCAGAAGGTACTATCATTTATGTCCAAAAATAAAACATTCCAGTTAATTTTTCGATCGAATTATGTCGTCAATCATTATTTATGTATAAAAGGATCATTATAAACATGGTTTGAGTTAAAAGTTCTACTAAGGTGTACACGCCCATTATAGGCACGAGAAAGTTTTACCTGGAATATTTTGTAATTACAAATTTTCCCCATTCGGTCACTTCACTTTCCATGTTCTAAGTTCATTTGCATTTGATGGAAAGCTGACAAATCCAACTGATTGATACAGCCTAACGCAGCATATTTTACCATCCTTCCAAAACAGAATTGAATAAATTCATATTGAGATCAAGTATGAAATTAAAATTTTGTGAGATCTCTTTTAACGCCTATGAATGTGACGTTACAGCAATGTCATGTCAGGGACGCCAATACACGAAACCAAAGTCACTAGATGATTAAAAGAGAAAGGATCTGTCCGTACCCTGTTAGATGACTTTAACGTCAATTTCCATCAAGGGACCCTACGAATAAAGATGGCCGATTCGACTCGATTCGTGGAATAGAATCTCCCTGCTGATATTTGAACCAATCATCAAATCAATCAATCAAATCATACCAATTCGTACACATGCTCGCAATCCTTGTCGGTGAGTATCTCGTTGTGATGCTTCAAGATCGATATGACCAATTTGACGGCCTGCACGGCCACGTCGTACTCCTTGTCCAGCGTCATGGCGACGATGCGATCCTTGAACTTGTTCGTGAACAACTCCAGCTTGCCTTTCAGCTCCTCGCTGGCGTAGAGCGGCTGCAGCGCCTGCAAACAGCGCAGTCTCACCTCGCCGACCTGAAATCAGGTTGAGTTGATTCATTAAGACCGCTCTATTATCTAGACCAGGGGTGGGGAATGGGCAGAGCTGGGCATTATTTGTTTTTACAAATACTTTTTAGTATTTAAATACAGAGCATTTAGACAATTTCTGGTTCATGTAATTATATATTTTTTTCCATAGTATGCCATCTTATGGGGTGTCTATAGAGGTAAGTTGTTGATGAATTTCAGGCGATAACATGGAGACGTTGCTGAAATATCGATCACCGATACAGGGTGGTTAAGAAGATATTTTGAAATAAAATCTTCTCCTTAACCACCCTGTATCTCTTAAACCAGCCATATTTTCATAAGGCATGTTAGGCTAAATCTTCATATTTGGGTGTTTACTATCTGTAGTTCAACGATTTCCCATACTTAAGTTATATACTGTTGGCCCGCGACACAGGGTTTATCGATGTTTTAGTCGGTATGCCATTTAAAGGGCCCACTCACTTAGTCCAAGTTAACAGGAAGGAGTACCTCGGAGAGTCGCAACCTTGCCCCGGCCCTGACCTCACCTTTCGGTTGGAAAAAAGTTCAAAATTTTGTTTAAGAAGAAGCTCGGCAATGAAGTGCAATGATCTTATCTCAAGAAAATTGGTGCGCTTGCCGGTTTGCATGCGCCTAGGTCACTCCCCAAGAGCGGCATACGAACCGGAAGTGGCAATTTTTCAGTGTTATATTCGATAATCTAAGAATGTATGCCCTTTGGCGAAACAATGAATTCGGACCCATTGATCAATTTCCCGACATTTGCATACGATTCCGGAGAGGGGAGCTCGAATTATTCGAACATCATTTGACTGGATATCCTTCAAATAATCGATAATCGAAGAAATGTTCAAATTTTGACCATGGTTAGTGGACCACACAGTATACATGAGATAATGGTTCGCATACAATTTGCACATTCCGTACAGGGTGGTTCGCCATAAATATTTCCCATTGTAACTTAGCTGTTTCTGAACCGATTTAAAAATTTCAAAAACCTATTAAAATGATTTTCCTAAGAGATTTTCCATTGTTATAAAAAATTCACAGGCTGTTCATAACAACAGTTTTGTTTTTTTTTTACTAGAAAACTATATTTTATTTCACTATCGCGTTGAGATTATCATGACGAATACAGCTCTACAGCATCTAGCGATATCATTTACACGCATTATAGCGATCATGCGTCAAATTGTCAAATTGTGCCAGAAATATGAATCCCGGGTTTGAAGTATTTTCTTTTTTTTTGCTGAATCAATTTTCATATCTGAACAATGATTTCCTGCGTCAGCCGGGTAGAGTGTAGCACGTCATGATTTAGGCATTCAATAATGTTTTTCCCTTTTTTCGGAGATAACCACCTCCCCTACCAGTGAAAAACAAAAATGTAGATTAAAGTTCAGGATACAGACCCCACACTATACCCAAAACTTTCAACAATAAATTAAATGTACATTATTTATATATTTTTTAAACGCCAGTATTATGATGAGCAGTCCCATATAAGCCCCAGGGAAGAATTTCAATTCGATTTATTGTGAGTTTCGATTATGAGCAATAATCCACATCTCTTCTCCCTGTACGATCCCTCTTGAGTATTTTGTAGTAATTTTTTTTATCATCTTTTCAAAGCCCTGATTTTCAGAATAAAATCACACACAAAAATTTCTTGGTACTAAACCTCTAACACATGTAATTTTGTTGAGCTGTAAATTTCTGATGAATATATACAAATATATCTGCAATTTGCGTCTTCGAATACCCCCATCACTCCCAAGAAGTCAATCTTTGACCCGGTTTCATGTGAAGTGAGATTATGACCAGATTATCTAGATCGCTTTCGGTTCACCTCTGACCTGCAGTGCGGGGCGCCGCGCCGGACCGAGGCACGCGCGGTTTTGCCCGATTATTACAACGTATGCTCATATTGAATTCGTATGCAAATAGCATCCAATTATACAGAATATATACAGATAATTTTTCTAAATAATTTATAAGATGCATCAGATCAGGAATTATTTATTTGCAAATGAACCTCGAGACTTATCAAAAATTAACACGATACAAACAATATTTCTGAAGGGAATATCTTTCTGAAAAAAAAAACTGGAAGTTTCCAGTGTGACCTCTGAAAAGTTATCACCAAATTTGTACGGCAACATGGTTGTTTGAAACACTCGCAGGTCACTGATGATGATGAAAAACATCTCAAAACGTGACTTACAGTCACAGATCATGACATGCCAAAAATTATAAAAATTGATCTCAGCCTACACTTTTTATGAGCAAAATTATTTTTTTTCCAAATAAACTTCACGCCTTGTTTTAACTCAACGAGACGATTTTGGATATAGGTAAGTTGGCCTAAATCAACTTGTTTTTATCCCAGGAGTCCACAGCCGAGCCATGTCTCAACCTATAACAAACACCCTGTATATAGTCAGAAAATCTCGAAAAAAACTGAAATCGTGTTCTGCCAAGAATGATTTGATCAGTTTGTCGAAAAGGCTTCTTGGCTCCTACTGTTCCTAGGAGTATTAATTGTAGGTGATAACTTATAATCAATATATATCAATTTTTAGTGTTTTTGTCGATTTTATCGTTACCCTCCATTTGGTCTTCGCCGCAATCGGGTAGAAGGGTACTCCAGACTTTGGATACAGGGCCCGTCTACGACAAGCTACGCCACTGGTGTCACAGGCGTAGGCGAAAATCAGTTGAGGACGAAGGAATCGTTTGAAAAAAATAGTGTACCTAATTCTTTCACTCATGATTGAGCAGTAGTTTTCAAATTCTTGCGATGTTATGGATTGAACCACCATTAACTTAGCAGAACCATTACAGGATCTTCAAGTTTCACTATATGCCATAATTTGTCACTTATTTATCGCTGATTTATTGCCATGACCAGGCCATGACAAAGAATTTGTCATTCATCGTTATGAAAAAATGTATGTTTTATTGTTTGTTTATAACGGAATCTACCAAAAACAAAATGGAGGACAAGTTTTGTAATTATGATCCGATTCTATTCCAAATTGGTATTTGGGGGTTTTCTGTGTCGGAGATTATTCTTTCGTCAGAATTGGGAAATTCAAGATGACCGATCCAATATATCGGACGAGCTATGTAATTATGGTCCGATTCAATTGAAAATTGGTAGCTGCGGGTTTTTTTTAGTCGGAGATTATGAATATTCCTTCAAAATTTGAAAATTCAAGATGGCGAACAGGTTTAGTAATTAGGAGCCAATTAATTATGATCCGATTTCATTCAAAATTGGTATCTGAGGGTTTTCGGGTGGAAGATTATGATTTTTTCATCAGAATTTGTAAATTCAAGGTGGCGTATCCAATATGGCGGACGAACTTTGTAACTAAGATCCGATTCTGTTCAATATTAGTCTCTGGTGGTTTTTGGGGTCGGAGATTACAATTCCTTCGTCAAAGTTTGTGAATTCGAGATGGCGCATTCAATGTGGCGGACAAGTTTTGTAAATATGGTCTGATTTTATTCAAAATTGGTATCATAGGGTTTTTGGGGTCGGAGATTATGATTCTCTCGTCAAAATTTGGAAATTCAAGATGGTGGATCGAATATGGCAGACGAATTTTGGTATGTGGGAGTTTTCGGGGTCGGAGATTATGATTCTTTCGTAAAATTTTGGAAATTCAAAATGGCGGATCCAATATATCTGACGAATTCTTTGATAATTATGGTCCAATTCTATTCAAAATTGGTATCTAAGAATTTTCGGGGGTGAAGATTGTGATTCTTTCATCAAAACTAAGAAATTCAAGATGGCGGACGAGTTTTGTAATCATGATGCGATTCTATTCAAAATTTGCAACTTTGTTATACTTTGGATCTAGGATAAAACTATGTATAGATTCAGAATTCTTGTGACATTTTACCTATGTTAGTCTAGATGGTTTTCATTGCAAAATTATCAATTTTTGAATTCTGGCAGGAACAATTTGCAACTTTGTTGTCGTTTGCATCAAGGACTAAAATATGTAATTTGGAATTCTGGTGACATTTCATGGGCACCTAGATGGTTTCCACTGCAAAATTGAGCAATTTTGGAGATTTGGCTGGAAAAATATGCAACTCCCTAATTCTTCAGATCCAGGACAAAAATAAATGTTCATGACCTTCAAATTTGCACAAACTGAGGAATAGAAAACTGTATTATTTTTTCTATAGATTTTCCAATAGTATAAAGCATACTGTACATGAAGGTCCTGTACCAATTAACAATACTGTATTTTTAAAGGTGTTTTTATAAACTCACAAGAGGAAAAAAATAATTATATTCTAGTACCTTATCATGTAGGGTCCAACCAATATACTTCAAATATGAATCATCCAAGAAGTTGACATGAAATTTGTGCATCCAAACCCCAATTTCTGTCATTGCAATGGCCCTTATTTCAGGCAAAGTGTCTCTATACCTGTGCACAAATACAGACTTGAACATATAAGTCAGCATATTCTTTATTTCATCCATATTTTCCTCTAATTCTTGTCTTTTGCCAAGCAAAGATTCTAGACGGTCACTAGCTCTCTTTTCATGAGTTTTTTGACGTTCTGCTTCATACTGACGTTGGGTATTATCTAAATTGACAGAGACTGTGAGAGCAACATCTACTAATGCTGTCATCAATTTCATTGCACCTAAAGTAGCTGTATGCCTGAAAGCACGGACCTAAACAAAGAAAAATTCATTGAAATCTGCTTCATTTCAGTTTGATTATGCTCACTTGTGAATCTGATAATCCTGTTAATAAAGAAATAACATTATCCATCAAGAACTGATCATATATGATGGTATACTGGCACTGTTTCACCAAAGTTTGGACAAAATCACAAAAGTTCTGTCTAAATTTCTTCCATGTTTGACCTGCCATTATCAGAGGATATTCTCCACTTTCCTCATCAAACTCTTCAGTCATTTTACGAATAATAGCAGTATGTTCCATAGTAGCTTGCATTTGCTGAGTTATTCTTCCTTTACATCCTGCAGCATTTATGAAGAATTGCATGAGTGATATCAAAGCAGCTTCACGATTTATCTGTAAATGAATCAAGTACACCACAGGAAACTCCAGAACATCAAAACAATCTTACCTTGTAGCTTTCTATCCAATCATCAACAATATGAGTCAAAGAAACTTTGCTGTTTTTGATAACATGATACAATGAATTATCATCACTATCACTATGTATTATCTCCCCAATTGTATTCTTTCTGCCAGGAGGCCGACCTCTTCCTCTACCCCGTCCTGTGGTACTTGGTGGAGAACGGGAAGGAGACATGACAGGAGGAGGAGGATTGGTCTGCCCCCTGGCTTTGGATCTTGTGACTCTTCTCATTCCTGGTGTAGGAGGAGATTCGAAATCTCCTCCGGACGATTGACCGTAAGGATTCTGAGAATAGGCGCCTCCATACTGGTCGCTTTCCACTTGGGGAGTCATGGGATTATCAAACTCTGGAGGAGGTTCATCCATGCGGATTCTCTTTCCTCCTCGGCGGTGCATTTTGAAGATTTTCGTTTCTTTCGATCTACAATGGAATACAACTATTATTCATTCATTTACAAGGAATAATTCCGAGAGTTAAACGTCAGAACCTTAGATCATACAGGAATGTATGTATGTATGATCTAAGGTCAGAACTCATTTGTAAACAATGCAGTTTTCGCCATTTTGAATTTTCAAATTTGTTTGGTTAAGGTTCATCTTCTTCTTCTCTTTCTTAGTCTCTTGTCTTTAGACCCATCCCACTCAGGACCCCGAATTCAATTTGTCCATACATATGTTAGGGTCCCACGGACAGATCCTCGTCTCCTCTCACTCTAAAGTGTTTGTGAAACAGTTATATAGTTCCATCTTTATTCATTTCTGGGGATAAACACTAGATTTTTGGCATTTGTGGTTTTTTAGGTTATATTGAGGTCACTGGCGTATCATACGTAATTTCCATATGGAATTCCTGATTCAACTATACCAAAATATATAGATGAACAATCCTCTAGTTATGAGGGCGCCGTACATTATGCTATTTCTCGGCAAGTTCGAGGCAATGCAATTTTCTCGCAATTTTTCTCAATTTATTGCGAGTCGTCGTACGTTGAGATATTTCTGTCATATTTTCTTGTTCATATTCACTATTTCTAGGTTTTTTGAGCCTTCAATGTACTTTTTGAGGTTATTTGGTGTTTCAGGCCACGTTATGGGGAAAATTAGTATTTTATCAAGATGCTACGATGAATATTACTGAAAATTTTACTAAACTTGCCTTGAAATTGCAGGAAAAATAGGACTGGTTCTATTACGAAACTTGCATGAAACTTGCCGTGAAATATCATAGACGCATGCGTATTGTTCGATTCAAAATTGCATTGCATCGAACTTGCTGGTAAATAGCATAATGTACGGCGCCCTTTAGAGTTTACTATACTCCAGCATAATTTTTGAGAGGTAGCTAAGGGAACATATGAATTTTACTGAATGCTCAATATATTTCACCAAAAGAGACTGTTCTTAGGCTTAGGCTGTATACAAGGGTTGACTGAATTGACTGAATGAATTCTGATTTCAAACTGAGCAGAAGTTAATCTATGAGCTGAATGAGCTGAGCCTTATGATTGAGAAATGGTGAACACCTTGATGTGAATATCTAAACTACTGTACTCATGTAATGTGTGCTAAATATATTTTCGGAAATACAACTCGAAGAATTTATGGAGTGACTAATATCAACTATGTATAAAACTTCGTCTAGGACGAAAAGTAGGCTGATTAAAAGTTATTCGTGAAATGTGCAGGGAAATAAAGAATAGAATATACTTCACCCCCATGTTATACATATGATTCTTCCGTCTTCCTCAAATAAAAAGTCATTTTCAAATAATTTATTGATGAAAGTAACAAACAAGTAGGAATACGCAGTATGACTTATAGGCACGTTATTTTCGCCCTTGCATCCTACATATTTTCTATTTGTGATAGAGTAGTAATTATATAAACTAATGGATCCGTTATCTTGGATTTTTCAATTTTGAAGGAACAATCATCATCTCTTACCCCGAAACCCGCCAGATATCAATTTTGAATAAAATCGGATCTTCATCACAAAATACTTGTTCGCCACATGATCTTCCTCAACAATTAAATACCCTGTACATACCTATTATTAAAATTTCGAATGATTTTCTGTAGCGCCCATGGATGTGACGTGACAGCAATGTCAGGGATGCCAGTAGGGAAAACTAAAGTCTCTAGATCATTAAAAAAGAATGCAGCTATGATCTGTCCGTACCCTGTTAAGATGACTTTAATGTCAATTTCCATCAAGGGACCCTAACATATGTATGGGCGATTCCTGAAATGCAATCCAAAAAAGGGCTTAGCACAGCGACACAGCGTCCACATCTGTAAATGTAAATTTACAAAAATAGTTATTGGAGACCGTATGCCCCTTAGCTGGATTCCTAGCCTCGCTACGCTCGGCTATGAATTCAGCCTCGGCAGTCAATCTATTTTGCTGCCGAGTTGAACATATAATTTTTTCTCCGTTTGTTCATAATGATATATATCTCTTTATTTTTCCTGTAGTGTTCAATTAAAATAAAATTTGATAGAAATTGCAGTTGTTGGAATTAGGTTGGAATGGTTGGTTGATATATGGAAATGTCCATAATAATTATAGTTTGACAATTCATAAAATTTCTGACAGTTGTGCGAGAAAATATCGGTATATTTAAATTATTATATAATGGACAGTGATAGCGACCTGAAAGTACTTAAACCTCCAGAAATAAGGGAGGTGGCAAAAAATATAGAGTTGAATTTGTTGCCGGAGAAGTCTCGGATGAAATATGAAGGAAATTATAAACGATTTATGGATTATTAATTTTGCTGATACATATCAATCAGCAAAGTAACCACTTTGCAGCCTAGGCAGAAAAGTACCCATTTTGCTGCCTAGGCAGGAAAAGTAATTCTTTGCTGATTGATATGTGTCAGCAAAATTAATATTTGTTGCCAATCGGAGAAAAATATACTTTCTAGGTCGAGAAAAAAGATTCACTTAAGACGAGTTAGGATAGACTGTTCAGAAAAAGTAGGCTCTTCAGTCTGTTCTCTCTAGTAATTTTCCAAATGATATCCTTTCTAGGAAGACAGTAGTTCATTTAAGATGCTGGAAAAGGTAATCTCCTTATTTATCACTCAGATTCGCGGGCGTAAAGTAGAACTTTAGTGCCCTATGACGAAAAAGGGGTCCAACGGGCGGTGAAGTGGTCCAGCAAGCAGTGAAGTAGAGGTGATCATGCGGTAAAGTAATTTCACTGATTTTCCAGTAATTTCTAGTGAACTAGATACCGTTCGAGCTTCTTATTCCACCCGTGTCATACATAATTTGGCTAAATATGAATTCGAAATAATTCATTAAATTACTTATTGACAGCAAATACATGTCTAAAACGGTCGTGCATAAAAATGTTGTATGTATTTCGGGAGTAAATCATGCTTTTATGCACTGCGTAGCGGGCGGTAAAGTGCACGATCAGCTGCGGTAGTTTTCCACACCCACATATACATATACACCGTTCTATTTCTCTTCTGATGCACACAATTCTTTCAAGTGTCCTGTGTAGGCTTTATTACTAACTCCATGCGCCACTTTAGAAGCAGCACTGTTAATTGGAACGCAACAGCGAATTGTGCAGGGGTGGACTATCCCCAGCCGATGCTGCGATACTTCACAATATTTAATTCGTAAATTAAACATCAAATTCTAACCTAAGTCGGCCTAATATATATAGGGTGACATGTGACATTGGAATAAATACGAATTTTTCAAACCCTAAATGATTTCGACGAATACTATTGAAGGGCACCCATAGAAGAGACTCTTTTTCCACCCAAAGTTCTACACTGTAGCAATTCTGACGACACCTCTCCACAAATTTCCGTGCGGAAGGCACATTCACGCGGAGTTAAATAATTTGAATTGCCTTGAGGTGGCATATTCGTTTTTTTTTTTCGATTTTTATTAAATTTTCAAGATCTAATTTCTTGTTCATCAGTAGAATTAGGAATATCCGTTAGCCTATATTTTATTGATTCGCTGAAGATATGAACTCATTTCAAAAACACCTCGTATAAATAAGAAAATGAAAGATAATATCATTGAATTTCTTTTTACTCCACCCCGTATACCCACTATCGATATCGGAATTTGTCATACTTGTTCGGATATTAATCGGTTGAAAGGATGACGTAACTAATTAGTCATTTGAATGATATGAATCAAACCAATCAGCAGTATCGTTCTAGACTTCATCGTGTGCGGTCGATTCGAGTGATATTAGAATAAAAGAACTCGAAGTATTTAGGAGCGGAAAATTGGAATTCATATTCGGCTTAGTGATTGTGTTTTCATTTGAGTGTGTGATGGTGTGTGAAAGTAGTATTTTTTCAAGATGGTAAGTGTTTTTTGTATAATATGGAGGCATTCATCTTTATCACGTGGTTGGTATTTTGCTTCGGTATTTTTCCATATAACGATGGAAAAAATTTGAAATTCGCTTTCTTCACCTATTTATACAAAGGATCTAGATGGATATTAATGCAACAAGTTGCGAAAATATTCGCCATTTCGTTATGAATTAACACAAATATTATAAAATTTGCCATTTTGTAGAGACTTTTTTATATAGATATACGAAACTAGGTATTCGAAATTTGGTACACCATTCTTCAACACATGAAATTTAATGGAATTGTATTGAAATTCAAAATATTAAAAAGAAAGTGTACTTCGGTATACTATAATAGCCATATACCTATATAGCAAATTGCAGATGGACCATTTGTGCATGTGGAGTGGGAATAGCTCACCATTTTATTTTTTTACTTATGATCCACTGTATTTAATTTTTCTAATCGAAAAAACTGTTTCTTCTTATTTCAAACATACAGGGTGATCCACGGTAAATATGTAAAATTTGTAAAAATTTGTAAAATTTGTAAAATTTTTGTAAAATTTGTATATCGCTACTTCAAAGTTGGGAACCAACTCCCCAGAAGTCGAAACTTGTGCGGGGTTAGGAAGAGCGGGACCTACAGCTTATAGTGGAATCCGAACCACTTCTAGGGCATCGAGGTGCTGCCAGGATTACAACCATGAATCACACATTCTAAAGAAAAATGCTCAGCCGATAGCCGGATTCGAACCGACAGTACCTCTGCATCGTAACGACAATCTAGCGAATTTCAGCGCATAGACCAACTCGGCCACGGAGCCCAATTAGGAAGGCCAATTAGAAGTATCTGGAGAACGGAAAGACAAAACATTCTGTAAATTGAGATACACTGATGATTGAAGATTTTCTATCCATCTAAAATATTTTCATCGATACAGTGTTGCCACTTCTATCAAAAGCAACTAGCAACGTCGTTATTTTAAATGGAACACCCTGTATTTCATTGCATTTTTAGATTCATCCTAAAGAGCTGATTTCATCAATGCA